CACCATAAACACATTTAATGGAATGCACCAGGATTGGGCCAACTCTATATATTATACTGTCACAATTACATGTAAGTTGTTATAAAATTTGTATCATATTGCAATAGTTAAGGTTTTGTTTTGGAAATTTTATATATTTCTATTGTCCAAGTCTTATTGTTATAGAACAATTAAAATAAGTCTTATTGTTATAGAACAATTAAAAATCTCAATGACATGAATATTTAAAAGAAACATAATATTGTTTCTGTATATAAAGGATCATTTGTCAAAAAATATTTGAATGTCATAATAATGACAATTTTCCCAAACGACCTGAATATTCTCCAGTAACTAATAACGCTGGCAGGTATCCAAAGTTATGAGCGTTAAGTGCAGCTGGTCATATAGAGTACGCGTTTCTTTACTCATGTGGTGGCATCAAGTTATCGGGCTAGTGATCGGGAGCGATTTCTCTATTAAATTATAGCTTTATTTCATCTGAATATTAATTAAGAGTAACTTCGTATGTCAGTCATACAATTATCCGTACTTTATATTTCAGTGAAAAGTGTGACCAACCTTAATCAAGGGCAGATATATAACGAGGAAAAAATAGAGTAAACTACTGGCGCGAAAATGGACAACAAAAGTAAAAGTTACTTCCCCTTTAAAACAAGCGGGTCCAGGGCCATGGATATATATTACACTAAAAACAAACAACAATTTAACGAACAATGAAGTACGGTTCTCACAGCTTAACAAAACAATGTCGCTATCCGTTTTCCACTGTTCTTGGAACTGAACATTGTTTATGTTTCCAAATGTCGGCATGGCCATTTCTTTTGTAATTTACTGATTATTTTATCCTCTATAATGTATAGGATTGGTATCAGTTATATAGGTCAACTTGCAGACCGTGCTAATTTGCACATCGCGATACCACTTTTCGTATTATACATTACTGTTTGAAATAAACGGCTCTTATCAGCAGATTGAACGGCAAATGACAAATAAATCTATCACTTTTTGCTACAACTACGCATTTTAACTCCTAGCATTTATATTGAGAGTTTTATAAGTAGTGACAACTTCCTAGATTCAAAAACATATAAACAAGATAACAAACCGGAAGTTTACATGCAAAAACCCGATGCCCAAGGATGAGGAAATACCCCCCTATCCAATGTACTCCCGTATCAATTAGGCCAGCCATATGAAAATGTTGATGATTATAGTTGTAGGTTTCATACATACTGAATTCCTTGCGTCACAGATCTAATTTTATATAGGAACTACATCTTGAGTTTTGAACCTCATTCCGTGGTAATAATTATCTATTGTTCCAAACTCAAATCGAATCTGCACATAAAGAGCAATTAAAAGAGTATAATGAAATGCTATTCATAAGTGTTAATCTGAATTTGCATTACACACCTTGACGCTCGTCGATGAATTAGTCCGCGTTAATGTTGGAAACATCATCAGTAGCATACGTATTACGTCTGACATTGCTTTTTAATGTGAAGTATCGACATCCACAATGTATAACAAATATCGTTTTCACGATGTCGCATTTGCAGGAATGGCAAACGGCAGCCAATGATGATAACAGGTGTTCTATGTATCTGTCGACAGCGAGCGTGAGCACTAGGCCTAGTGGATACTTATTGGGTTTGTGTTATGATGGGGTTGGGGAAAGGGTCGGGTGGTGTCGGATTGCACTAGAATCCCCTGCCAACATGGGATCTGACCCTCGCTCGTACGATAACAATGTAGCGTCAGGCTGATAAGCCGTGACAGTTTTTATTGTTTTAGAAGCTGCGATGTTTATTTGACCTGAACGGAAGTAGGTTCCAGCAATTAGACTTGTGTTACATCTAATTAATGCATTTATTCTTAACTTCGTTTGTTTGTTCCAATAAATTCAGCACCTGACATAAACATCTTAGGGTATCGTCTATGCACCCACGGAACTTTGAAATTCTTGAATTTTCTCAATTAATAAACAGAACCCTTCAGTTGTAGTCCACAAACCTTTGGATATACTATTTGTTATAAATACATTTTATTCGCAAAACCCTAAATGGGATCAAACGCAAGTCGAAAAGGTCAAAATAAGTCTTCTCCTTTTAAACAATAATGATGATTTGGTATATTAGGTACTGTTTTTGTTTATCAAAACAAAATAATCAACTAGCAAAAGATCCATAAGATCAAATACTTCATTCAAAAATTCAATTAATGACAGAAAATATGCTAAACGGCCTTAAGACATACTCAACACAAAAACTATACCGCTTCAGCTAAATGGTATTATACCACGAGATGAGTGAATGCCTCAATGAACACACGCCTCAAGAACTTAAAAGGGAGTTCAACAAATTAATTAATATGGCAGATTAATGAAAAGAATCTTCAAACTGCAAAGACTCCGCTATAGCCGCAATGCCATGTAATGCCAATGCTACCATGACCCACTACTTAAAACTTCAAAACAATAAAGCCTCGATGCGCAAAAAAAATAAGGTTTCCGTTATTGTTTAACATAATTTAGCAGACTACTTCCAGAGTATGTTCTAAAGATTGCTTCGTGTTTGCAGTAGCGATATGCCAATGAATGGAGAATGTGATTTATGCATGATACATATAACCTATATTGCCATTACAACAGGCATGCTGCGTCAACGTTGGTGTTTGGTACAAATTATAAGCCAGGAACGCACATCTATAAAAACAAATAAGATTCACCGGAAAATTATCTTTAGAATCGCCGTTGTAATTTACACCAAATAGCCGTGAACTTGTTGGGAGATTTTTAGACATCCAGCCGACAAGGCTAATCACGTACTCACGTCCTTGACAGTTGTCAAGAAAAACTCCTCACAACATTTGTGTATGTTTAGATATGTTATAGTGTTTATTTACACTGGGATTATATACAAACCAGTACACAACCGCTAAGTTGAGGCTTGACCTCTGGGCTGCGGTCTGAACCCTCCGCGACTACTGACCGCAGTGACATGTAAACGTTACAAGTGCTGCCAACAACGCTGGGTTTTGTTAAAACATGGCACGGGATGACGGAACGGCATGGAGCGGAACAGAAAATAACGAAACCGAAAGAGAAACGAAACGCACTGACAATTAAAAAGTTGATCAGCAAAATGCATTGCTAAATTGAGGAGTTCTACTTCTTAATTGTGAAACAAATCAATACATTGTAGAAGTTATCTATTATTTCATCTATAATACGAATTACCGTAAACATTTATGAAAAACGTTAAATAGCATCTAAAGTCGGATGCAATTATTTGTCAAATAAAAACTTTTTGGACGAAGGGCACTTGCGTTCATTATCAGCTCGCCTTGAGATACGTGTAGCCTCGATCGCGAGGCTGATCGGTCCACTTACACGCCTCAATCAAAGGATGTACTTTTTACCTACTTTGGAGTACACGAGCACACAGACAATACTATTACCGTAACCAAAGTGTCTCGGCTTACACACTGTTCTAAAATCTACACCAGCTAGATAACGCCCCCGTCGTATTTGTGTTTATATTCGAACCAACGAACTCTAATTAGACGCACTATACACTTAATATGAGGTGACGAGTCTCGTTAGTGTGAATATTTATAGTATCTTGTAACGATTGACTGTTATCACAAACAGGAAGTTCGTTTATACTCTCGAACCCAAAACAAGCGAAACTCAATGTTGTTGACAGTTGGAAGAGTTGTTGGCCTTACGTTACTGACATGGCGCTCTAATATCGAGTGTCCTGTACCGTTTGTCCGACTCTGCCTGCATTATTCTATTCGGATGATATGTGTTTGATCGTAATTTCACACGAATTTCGCCGCCATGTTTCTAATTAGAAGTACTACATGTATGGTGTAGCGTGATCTCACCAACGGTCGAGGAGGCGATTTCGTGACCGAGTAATTTATAGCAGTAGGTACTTGCTATGGAGTAAATAATTTCCATGTAACCGATATAAATTTGCCACTCTTTGTAAATTTTCGTGATATGCTATTAATAATACTTTATAACTTTGATAAGAATTGCGTACTCAAGGGGCGAACCAACAAAATATTCCGGACTATTATAACCACTGCAACCAAAGAAAAAAACACGTCATGTATCTGCTATTTTAATAGTATTACTACAGTGCTCCTTTGATGAACGGTATGGCAGTCCCTCCATGATATTTAGACAGTTACATACTGCAGCAGAGGAAGCTTATAAATGATCACAATTTTGCACATAAAGCAGAGACAAACGCATGTGTGCAATGCTGAGAAGAAGTTACAATGTAAAACTAATTTCTAATTCTTTGTCTGGTTGCTACACAACAAAACACATTTCCTTTGTTGTCCTTTTATCAGTGGTTTGTATCGTCGCAACATAATTGATATGAACGTATCCAATCAAAGACAAGGTAAATTGGTAGGATTTTCTAGGGAAAAAAGAAGAAAAATGTAATCCGGATATTTTAAGCTTACCCGGGTTAAACGAAATTGAAAAAAATCCATATGAAGACGGAACTCCAATCCTTTTGCCATTATTGAGCGGTAAATGAATTTTACGGAATATTAGTGATCAAAATCATGACGCTTTACGATAGAAATATTCGTACTTTAAACCGTTTTGAACTTAAGATTAAGTTTAAAAACAGGTAAAATAAAGTTCAAATATTTTTTTCCTAAATGGCAGTATATATATTTCTTTATAAATGATAAACAAAACAAAATGCAGACAATTGAATGCAAGGTGGTAACAAATATAGATATAAAACAACACACAATAATTTTTATACGTTTAATTTGCATTCCTTTTTAATGAGAAATTACTTTTAAAAAGTATGCACCGACGGTCTTTACTGAACCGGTGATAAAGTGTTCGCCGCTATGAGCCCTGGTCCTGCCTCGCGCGGATTTGATTGGCTAATGAGTATCAGGGGTGGGCACACTACAACTGCCTCGCCTGTGAATGACGATCCAACGTGTGATCAGCACGCTACTGGCGTACGTGGAATTCTCCCATATGATTGAAGGCGGAGGGGTCACTCGGTGCATTATCCAGGAGTTTACCTAGAAGTTTTACTATAGGGGTTATGTATGAAATATTTATAGGAATATCAATTAGAGAAGCGAGTGTCGTGTGCACCCTAAAACAGGTGTTGGAGTAAGTTAGGGCTATAAAACTGACGTGGTGACGGCCGCTGACCATTGACAGTGACAACTCGACGGCAACCGGACGGATTTAACTCTCTCCTCACTTATATACAGATTTACAGCATCTTACAGGTAAGTCTTAGTGCAAACGCATACATTACTATAGCCAGGGCCAATATAGTGTGAAAAAGTATTAATGATTTGATAAATAATAATGATTATTGTGCAAAATTGTGCAATATTTTCCTGTCTGCATGCAATATTATAGAATAAAGCTTATGTAGGAAAATATGGTATTTTTGTATCAATTATTATATATATTGATACTTCCAGTTTTGTGGGAAGTGTTACATGGTTATTTGGAAACATGCATTGAAACAAAGCTCTTGTATAATTCAGTTGCAAATTATTTTTTCTAGTTTATCAAATTGCTGAAATATTGAAGTTGGAACTATTATTTAAAAAGCTCATTGAAACAAAAATGCGGTGCGTCCTATTTTACTAACACGAATGCATACAATTTCATAATAAAAAAAATAACATAAGTAATAAAAAGAAATAATAAAAGTCAAAGTCAAAGCATCAGGATAAGGGTATATTATTTCATATAAAAATACCAGTTCTTTATTTTCTGAGGGAGTATCTAAAACTTAACCAATTCATATCATATCATTTTAATGCTTGTTAAACCCTTTTAATCATTATATGTATATCCTACTAGGAAAATGTCTTAATTGTGTGCATGCGACATAGCAATAAACTTATTCAATAAAAGCCATTTGAAGGAAACCCCTATAGAAAAAATAATGAATGAATGAATTGGCATTTTTGTCTGCTAATTTCGTGTTTATCTTTCTATTACATCCTGTGTATGCATAAGAGTTATCTATCAGTTGCCCTTGATGATATACGTGTCCTTCATTTCAGCTAGACTGTATAAATATAATTTTAATCTAAACTGATACCTGTGATATCTCCATTGCTGTATTTATCAACAAAGTGCTGGCTGTTACGTGCGTTTTTGTATCGACCTAGAACTGATGTCTGTACGATAGCAAACTGAAAAGGCCACTTGTACAAGCTGAGGTGTCTAATACACAACACGCTTTATTAGATCGTATATATATATATGTGTGTGTGTGCTTAGATATATCCCGTAAGTAAACGTGACACGTGACGCTCGAAGGTTTATTGCGCCCTAGCCCGATATGGGCGCCCTTGTGTAATTATCCCGAGGGTGCAGCAACCAGAGACATTACCAGCTACAGATACCAGTTGATACTGCATTTAACTGAATTACGTTGCCACTTAAGTGTATTATGTGTTAATATACGACACGCAAAAGAGCATCCTTGCCATCTGATACCGAGAAATTAAACGAAAAAGCATCATCTCCTTGGATTTATTACGATTGCAATCAAATAAATATCATTTAATTCTATTGCTAGTGTCATTTTCAACCTTTGCTTCATTTCATATTATTGACAAGCACTTAGATCAAAGGGTTAACTGTTGACGTAGATACTGAGAACTGCCGGTACAGATGAATGATTACCCTGCCGTAGTACTAAACTAAGGTTGACCGTGATTGCTTCCCATTGCTATAAAACTATGAAACATTACCCTCGAACTTTATTTGGCCGAATACTTGATCCATCACAGGTAAGCTCATTTAAGCTCACTTTGCAAAGATGTTATTCATATGTAAATTAATAATTATGTTTGATAAGTTAACTTCCGACAGTTACTACCGTCAAAGATTAGCTGTACAAATTCCGATTACTTACAAAATTGAGCAGAGAGGAGTATACTGAATAACATTAATAATGAAATACACCACGGGAACTTTCTTTAACGTCATTTGAACTGAAAGACTATCATAGGGAATACACTGCGATTCGTTGTCACGATCTATTTCGACGAAATAACTTTCATTCCTAAGATTTTAGAAACAAACCTGTTCTTTGTCATAATTTGTGACGGAATCGATTTATTTCAAGAAGGCAAGGACGTATCTCATCTTCAGCATCAGGTCACCTTGACGGAAAACGTTATATGTATATGTTCAATTAACAGGTTAATTAATTGTGGTCTATTAGTCATGTTAACCTGATTAATTTTACGTTATTGTGTTACAGCATGCCCTCTGTGCTTTCTGTACATGTTTAAAGGTCTCACCTGTGTGGTAACGTCTTCGTGTACCAGGTGCAGATTAATAGCATTGATACCAATGTGTATCCGCCTTTCGTTGTTATATTGCTATAGTGGAGGTATACAGAGATAGATTATAATGATAATACGCTTTTTACGGGATTATTTTTTCCACAAAGACGCATGCAGCATGGCTGAAATCCCTGAAATAGCCTTTTAACCTTTCGTTCAAAGAGTTTAAAAGGTGTTTAACCTTAGGTACAGATAGTTCATAGAGAGTAAGCGACCGTAGCCGTATCCCTATTACTGTGAAGATCACCTATTCAAACATCTGTCGCTTGGTGCGGGTTGGCTTCTCGTCTTTATAGCACACATGTATGGGAACACCTGGTAAACAATCAAATTAATCAAATTACTAACATATAGTTACGTAGTTAGTATACTTACTCCACATCGAAGGACTACGACTAAATAAGTATACGAATTGACCGCACAGGGGGTAATCTCTTAATGTACAACGGACTGATTATACAAAAAAAATAAAAATCTTACGAGGATAATTTCCGGTTGGAAACAGGGGCCTTGATAAGGTTTCAGCTCCATAATTTTAGACGTGTTAATACCTGTCAAACTGCATTCCAAAATCAGATAATGCCATGCCGTGGTTTAGATATTTCAACGCTCAGCCAAAAACCTTGCATATGTAAAAGCCAGATGTTCTTATCTTCTCGTAAATGAACTGTGTCGAGGTTCATGTCAATCGTAAGTTTTGACGGTTTCAGTCATGGTTTAACATATTCAAATATAAAACAAAATAATTGTTTTTGCACTCCAAAGATGCAAGTAAAATGTCAATGGATAAATAAAGTATATAAGAGAAAATACTAACTGAAAGAAAATGTTTTGTGTCAGAAGGAAGGAGAAGGTAACTGTAAATGTACGACTAATAAACTTAGAAATAACAAAGTTCTTTTTATTCGAAACATTCTTTTATGCGCTGCTTACGTCAAACATATTTTTGAAATGAATATGTAGTTATGAAACTCGATTATAAATGCTGAGTTAGATATGCTAAATACTCCATTTCGTACATTTTGTCTACACATTCTCACATATACAGCAGACATGTTTTCCCCGTTTTATTGTCAGTATGCAAGGCTCATTTAAAAAACAAAATAGTTTGAATTTGTTGTAAAGATATTTTAGTAGTTTGTATCCTTACCAGAAAATCCTACTTGACTGCAAACAAAATGAACCAAAATTTCAACAGGATTTCTGTCCAATCATTGATCGAGAAATTAATTGTTAATGTCATATTGTTATCGAATGCTAACCAAAGAGTTATAATAATAGGTAACCTGAGAGAAAATATTGAATAATAACCAAAAAAAAATCTTTCCAATTGTATACTAATATATAGGTTTTTATTACTTTCGTGCCTAACCGATTCCCTCGCGCATAGCCAGTCTCTTTACATATTTAGAGATTTTATTGGATTAAGTCAGTTTACCTGATAAGCTGCAGTTTATGACACTCTTCACTCACACATTGTCATGTTGCTCAATTCACAGATATCGATATAGAGTTTAACCTACGACTTGTGGTTACTACACACGAATTTATAGTAAGCTTTTCATTTGTTCGTACTTCGTAACTTCAAAACAATCATGATATCTTATAATTTTAGAATAACGTATGAAATACCAAGGATTCTCCTGAATGTTTTTGTACAGAACGAACCCAATTGTGCCTTGGCATATTTCGACTTGTGGTTAAATTGTATTGATATATTAATCTTGACAATACGAATTCAGGTAGTGCAAAAGGGAACAATATCCCTGTCTGTCAAAAAGGAATAAGTTGATATGTTTTTCATCATGTCTCGCTGTGATGCGGCTTTGTTCTGTTCTTAATCTACCATCATAACAATAGGTAAGAACCCCGACATTAGTAAGTTCACAGGTTAGATAAGTTCTATAACGGGTGCTAACCATGTGACACATTATACTAGCATATTTTTCAACCGCAAACTGTAATGTATTCTTATTTACATAAGTTTCATAGTCTAGTATACGTAACGATACGTAAAAAATGTGTAAATAATATGAAAAAGAATTGTTAAAGACAGGAGTTAGTGATATTTACAAAGTACAAAGTATGCTTATAAGATATATATCTACTTTCAAATCTTTCACCCATGATATTATGTCAATCCGAATGACATTGCTATTTTGATTTGGTGTCTTCTGAAACAATATTTCACTGGAATCCGTAAACGTGTTGCATACTCTTTGTGAAGATATTGACGAACCTGGAGTACGTTCATGAACTTATTATGAAAAAAGCTGGCGAATATGACCGACAATCAGAAAAAACTACTTATTTTTTGGCTAAAGTTTAGCAAAAGAAACATATCTGTATATTGTGTTGCGGTGTACAGGGGTTGGCGATAACATAAGTTCTCGTAGTAGGACATGTGGGTCCCGTCAGTATTGCAATAAGTGCTGAAGGAAGCTCGACCTTGAGCTTAAACCAGTTTATGGTAATGAGTTGTGATGTTTGTGTTGTAACACTTGACGAACCTTGTACGCCCTATGTATTATAAGCATAAATCATTTCACTGAAGAACACCGACCTTACCTAGGTGCATTGCCATTCATTGTCTCTGTCGACTTTATTTGTTTCTCCATACATCTGTGCGATGATAATCTCCTTTCAGCATTCCTTTTCACTCTGCAGAATGTTTTCATTAGTCTTTTTTTTCGTAGCTCTGTATATATGCTTTTCAAAGGAGACTTGCCAACGTTTGGTGTTGAAGTGGTTCTGTGTTTCTGACCCTACGTCTGTTTCCTGAAGATGAGTACCATTTATCACAAGTAATTACCACAAATATGTACCACATGGCACCTGCCTAAAGTCGGGAACGAGCTAGTGGCAACGACATGTGGGGTGTGGCACGTGTGCGGAATACTTTTTGGAGACCATTATAATGCAATTATCTTTGTAAAAATGTACAGACATTTGCAATAATTGCGTAACTGCAGGCCAAGTTATAAAAAAATAAAATAAATATAATACCATATTTTTGGAAAACTAATGTAAGATTTCGTAGAACTGTTATATGTTCTGACATTATTACAGCAAAATGTTTTCAGGCACTTCTGAAATTTACACAAGAAAGTTATATTGAAAGGATCAGTCAACACGATATATGTCGGGCATATTTCGTCGTACCACAATAGGTCTACCATCAGGGCGACTCCAAAAGTCGAGGTGTAGAGGAAAGAATCAATTGATTAGGTTCTATTTGGTCTTTTTTGCTAAAATTTCAATCATGTGCAACGGTTGAGGTTGACTGTGTGGACACTGTATACAATATTTAAGCTACCCGGCTTTCTTTAAAGGCAACCACACAAGAAAAGCCGCACCTGGTCACCGTAACACGACAAATCCAACCCAGTCACATTATTCTTACATCGGAATAACCAGTCCTTATTGTACACTCTCAAAACTGAAACAGGAGCAAAGAGTAAATGCCATTATTCTAAGGTTGGTCTTGGTCAGGGGCCAGAACCCATCACTTCCATTGTTCGGTTAAACGCTGAACACCAAAGCTGAAAAGGAGTCATTAACAAAATGTTTGGAAACGGAAAGTAGTAAAATGAAGGAGGAAATAAAATAATAGTCCTACTGTTTCACACTACATGATCGTATGAGGCGACTAATGTGAAAGCCTACAGTTTTTTTTTTATTTTCTTTTAAAGGGTCATGTCATGTCATGCTTTTTTGTGTCTCCCTAGGCACCTCTGGGCAACCGGTTGTCAGAATAATCTGACCAGTTGATGTGTCATGATACCTCTACAGGTTATGGAATTTCAGTGAGATGGCACTATATAAAGGGCCTCTGAAAGGCCCCTTCATCAGTTGACACAGTCTTCATATGACCTTAGCTGCTGTTACGAGGACGCAAAACCCCTAACACCTATAACGTTTGTATATGTCTGTTTTTCTGTGTTATTGTGGCGACGGAGAGGTGCAAGAGTCATATCTTATCAATGTTGTCATTATTAGTAGCCGCTGTTATGGCTATTAAAATCGGTCCGTCCTTTACATCTCGGAAACTGATTAAATTGGAAACAATCTGCGTGTGTGTAAGTACACATTGAATGTCTCTGTACTGTACTTAATATACCTCTTCTTGCAGCCTCATATTGCACTGAAATTAATTACTTTGGAATTACAGTGTTCTTGCTGATTTTACAAATATCGCTTTTTTCCCTTGACACCATATCGATCCTTTGTCAGGACAAGAACGAACGATAAGACATTCAGGATCATGTAACTCGATTTCACGGACATACAATGCCGGTAATTTGAGTTCATTTGGTTAGTTCTTTAAGTGCTTCGATCAAGTTTATTTATTTATTAATTATTCATTTTATAATTTTTCAATTATTTTAAAATAACGTAACAACAAGCCTTCATTAAAAATTAAACATCAAAATATGATATAATAACTCTGATATTACTGTGACTGCGTTGAAATGTAGCTAAGTGCTTTTAATTGGCTATGTGAGGTAGATTTAAAATACATTTTATTTTCTTTGTTTCCAAACTTATTTTCCTCCTTCATTTCTTAAATGTTTACTTAGCCGTCAACAATTTCTAAGCCTTTAGTTGGGCCCTATTTTAAATTTCACTGTACTTAAATCGCAATGGTCATTTCAAAATTGTTAGTTCTCATTTCGCGGATGTACTAAGTGAAGAACTTATTTACCAATAAATATGTTTTTTTTTATATGCGATACGACATTAATTGCTCTATCCCATATCAGCCCTCGCCGTATCACACCCCAAAATCCGTATCAGCCCCGCCGTATCACACCCCAAAACCCGTATCAGCCCTCTCCATATCAGCCATAAAATAGATCATAAGATAGTAGCTCTTATTGGAATGTATGTAATAAACAGAATAAAACATGCCCTTTTCCATATCACACCCAGTATCAACCCGAGACTGCAATATCAGCCCGAGGGCCTTTACATATATCTGTTGTTCTATATCACTAAAATCCGGGTCTACAATGTTTTTTGAAATGTCATCACGAGATATTTACATTGGTAGTTTTAGTAATTGCATGTGGCGGCAAAGTTGTGACGGACGATTTGCTGAAGGTTTAAAACAAACTTAAACAATGAAAGAAGCAATCGTTTTGGAAGCAACTAATAACACGCTATATATATTGTTTACCTTACACATACTATTATTGTTTTTCCATGTTTTCAAAATGTGGAGTTCACAACGCAGCGCGGGAGACTTTCTTTCACATTTCATTTATCCTTTTATTTTATTTTAAACGAAGCATTGGTATATATTGACATGTTGTATTGATGTATTTTGAAATAAAGCAATCAACACAGTTTTATTGAAGGTATCAAAATCCTATCCAAGTACTTAAAAGTGGGTCGTATGATTTATTTGAAAAGTTATTATGACTAGGTTATCTGCGATGACAGCAGTACTGTAGGTGAGATGATATTGGTACAATGACAGTAGTATGTTATATATAAGCGACGACACTGATGCGATGGAAGTATCTCAGTTTGTGGGGTGATGTTGGGACGAAGACAGTGGTATGTTGTACATGCGACTACACTGATGCGATAATAGCGGTACAGTATGTGCTATGATACTGATACGATGATAATAGTACAATATGAACGATGATAGGGCTCAATTCAGTTGTGATGATATTGATTCGATGATAACGAAAAAAACCGTGCGATAATAAAATGCGATGATTGCGATACGATATGGGCGATATCATGGCACGATATATGTAGGGTAAGGTTGACAATATTTGCGATGATGGTGTTGCGAATTGTAAAGTAAGATCAATGTCATTGCACGAACGGCGATATCGTCGATACGATGATTAGTGATACAGTAAATGCAATGATGGTGAAATATTTGCGATATGCAAGATAGCGCGACGACCGAATGCAACTATGTTTTCCAGGCATTCGTTAGAAGAAAATTCAGTGCTTCTACCTTCTACCTGGATGATGGCAAATCATATTTTCCTGACGTTATGAAAAACCACTGTCAAAACGAAAAGTATTTATCACGCCAAATATGACGAAGTCGTAAAATTAAAGGAATTGATTCGGAATGTATAGAAAATGCGATGTTGTTTTCTTATCGGCATTACAACTATGGTAATCGGCTGACTCTGTATGATGGAATCTTTTCACAGCCAACTCATTATCGTATATGGTTAATATATCATGCATGTTGAACACTCTGACCATGTCTTTTCAGGTTACAAAACTCGCCCGCTAACATGTCGATGGTAGAGGTATCCGATAGGAGTGGTTGTAAGAGCAAGCTTTGGGACTACGACGGAATTTATCTACCCCTGGCCATCAACGGCAGCCCATCTGAACATTTGCCGTCTCTGAAGAAATGGAAGACACGAAAGGATGACATGTTTGTCTGCTCCTATCCCAAATCTGGTAAATATAGCGGTTAATGTCACGACAGTGTGTCGTCTGCGCACGTCCCTACTCTAGTTATGATATGCATGTTTTTGTTTCCCAACTATATTTGAACAACATCTCGTGACAGGTCTGTACATCTGTTGCATAACCCCATTCTAAGATTATGAAGGTTTTCAGGGGGGGGNGGGTTAGAGTGCTTTTCAAATATGCACACAGTATTGTATTTCATATGGATGAGTAAGTAAAACATAAAATGACAGAGAATACAGTATTGTTCAGTGTCTATTCGATTTTACCTTCACAATTGTATTGTATAAATCTCAATATCATGACGATATGCTCGTCTGCTGCTATCCATAATCTGGTTTGCATTAAATTATGTTACAAACATCAAAGTTAAGACGTCCCATCTGCAATTTGATTAGTATAGCACTCCCTATGCCAACTCAGGTTTGGTCCACTGTCATGACGGTTTGGAAATTGTTCAATGCTGACGTAAAATAAACAGATTTATAAAACACAGTTCAGCTATCTTTGGTCGCTACGGATCCACTATGCCTAAACGAAAGATTCCACAATCAATGTTGTCTTTCCTCGAAACGTAATAAATGGAAATACCACCGAAAATGAAATTTACAGAAATTATTATATATATAAATTACGGCTCATGTTTGTCATTCATGTTTGCTGACTATCTTTGTAGGAACAAACTGGGTGTGGGAGATCGTGTCTATGCTCAGACAAAATAAAAAAGAGATTACAGAAATGGTGTTCCCCAACATTGAGATTTACCGGACTCAGGACATCGACGCAATGCCATCGCCCCGGACTTTACAATCACATATGAGGTTCCGGTGTCTTCCGCAACACTTCCTGGAGAACAAGGGAAAAATAATATACGTGATGCGCAATCCCAAGGACATCGCTGTGTCCATGTACAACTTCATGGTGAAACTCAAAGACGTGTACAGCGGATCCTGGGACGATTACCTTGACCTCTTCTACCAGGGAAAATGTAACTATCGTTTCCCCTATACTTAACACTACCATTTAAACCTTGTATCCTATATAAGTATTTGACTGGGACGAAAAGATATACATTTTTCTTTGAATTTGTCCAAATCAACTCAATTATATTATTAAGTATTATGTATATGCATGCATTTCAAATCATTTCGGCACTGGAAATATATACAGCAGTCAGATTCAGTATTGTTCAAGATTATGAGAGCTGGAAATAAAATGGATTCAGCTTTAAATAAAAATTTACAGATAACTTAGAAACACTAAAATAAGTACATTAATATTTATAAAATATAAAACAACTAAGACAAAAATAGAGAATGTAAAGAAAAGAAAAGAAAAAAAAAATAGAGATAAAAAGTGTTTAAAAAATTAGATAAATAAAGATTAAACGAATAAATAGCCATACGAATAAATGATAAAATGCTGCGAGGAAAATATATCAGGAACTTTGATTGCCAGCCAAAGATACCCTTTTATCAGGAGCGTAATGCAATGTTTAAATCATGATATACAACATATGTTATATGCAATATTGTTTGTTTGCAGTGGGTTATGGTTCTTGGTACGATCACGTGCGTGACTGGGAAGACTTTCGAAGAGAGAACAGTAAATACCCCATTCTGTTTGTAAACTATGAAGACATCCACAAGGTACTTCTTCTCCAGCGATTCTGAAATCTTCAATCTTATTATGAAATCCAAACATATTTCTGTGCGTTTTGCCTATGATGAAACCAGACTCGCCAATACTCGTTTAATAATATATTAGAATATATAATAGCCTATACATTGTAATACAGTTTTGTTTAAATGATGCTAACCCGATTCGGTCAATGTTCTTTAAATGCACAAGGTGAGAATTGAACTATGAGAGAGACCTATTTTCTATCTGATACAATAATCTGGGAATATATTTGTGGATTCTATAGGTCATATATATCGTATACTTTACGATCTATAAATTCCTTGTTATAATGTGTATAGAAGAAAAGAATGTAGACAGTTTCTATATTGTCACTTTAAGTATCCCTGTTAATAGTGTTATGCATCGCGTAGGAGTATTGAATAAATTGCAAAATCGCTCAGAGTTTATTTGGAGGATCGGGATGTATTGCTGTCTCATTTTATTGAAACATTTTAATGCAATGTGATGATTTCTGTGCTCATGTTGTTGAAGAAGTCGCCAAGCTGGCTTATCATTTGTCTGTAAAGTCTGTATCATTTTTCTTGCAATTATATTTGTTTATTCGTTTAACACTCTTAAGGTTTCTTAAATAATCTTCAGTCTAGATATATACAGATTCTGATGGAAGTAACCGAGGGATTACTTTTCCACTGTGCTTTAGATGGTGTGATGTTTAAGTGTTATTGGTCATTATGGATAATGACCACACTACGGTAACTGAGTGAATTTTTGGGCTCATTAACAGATAATGCTGCAATACTATATATCAACCCAAGGCCTAATGAGTAGATGTCAGCCTGGATGGTACATCAACACCTCAACTCATCACATAAATTTGCTGGGGAATTAAATTAGGTATTTCTTATCCTTGTAATAACATCACATGTGACGATTTTCTATCTTTTTAATTGCCAGGACTGCAAGAAAGAGATAACACGCATTAGCAAGTTTTTGGAAATCCCCACCAATGCGGAAACAGTTTCTGCGATAGCAACACAAGTGCAGTTCCAGAATTTTAAGACAAAGAAGCTGGAGAAGTGTGGTCACATTTACAGGTCTATTAGCAGAGACGGTTCCGACGTCTTCTTCCGCAAAGGTTAATATATCTCAATGACTACTCTCAAAACGACATGTTCCTACATTCGACACATTCAAAACATGATGTAAGACACCGTCAAAACATGACATGTTCCTACGTACGACACTCTCAAAACATAACACGTTCCTACGTACGACACATTCAAAACATGATGTAAGACACCGTCAAAACATGACATGTTCCTACGTACGACACCCTCAAAACATAACACGTTCCTACGTTCGACACACATATAACAAGTCATGTACTTCATTCGACACCTTAAATATGTCCTGTTCCTACAGTATGTACGACACTCACAAAACAACACGTTCCTACGTTCGACACCCTCAAAACATAACACGTTCCTACGTACGACACCCTCGAAACATAACACGTTCCTACGTACGACACCCTCAAAACATAACACGTTCCTACGTACGACATCCTCGAAACACGATATGTTCCTATGTACGACACCCTCAAAACATAACACGTTCATACGTACACCACCCTCGAAACGTGACACGTTCCTACGTGCGACACCCTTCAAACATAACATGTTCTTACATACGACACTAAATATGAAATGGTTGATAAATGTTGAGAAAATTGTCAAATCTTCAAAAGGTAAAACTATGTTTAAATGACGTCAAGTATGTTCTATGATGCATCGGTAGAGAGCAGATATAATTGCATAGCTGACATTTCAAAATGACCGAGTATATTGTATTAATCTGACTTTTATTGTTATGCTCATGCTTTTCTAATTTCCTAAACTATTACGTACTATTTCCTTATATGTCCCGAAGATTTTTGTTTTCATAAGCTGTTTTGGGTTGTTATAGGTGTTGTTGGAGACTGGAGGAACCATTTCACAGTATCACAGAGCGACGAGTTCGACAAAGTATTCGAAAAGAAAATGAAAGGATCGAAATTAAAATTCAAGTTTTCAGTCTAAGTGCTGGACACTTTCATTATGAATTCTGGATGAGATGTAGCTGAACCCTTGAAGTACGTTAATGCACAGACTGGTTCGTTTTTTTCTGTTATGAGTCTGGAAAAATAAAAAACCCAGAAAACAGTTAACTGAGAAGAATGTCCAAAACTAGTTCAACGGTGTGACCAACCCAGAAACACAGTTCCTTGTGTAATATACTATTTATATATAATTGTTTTGTCCAAGCGAATGTTTCATTTTGTTTCACCAGGATGACATTCGTTTTTAAGGTTGTGTATTTAGAACTTTGTTATACGAAAATGACGTATAAGACAAGGGTAACTATAAGTGAACATCCGGTGTCGCTGACGTCATAATAAGTACGAGACGATATAACATACGGGTATCCGTGGCGTCATATTTAGTATGGGACCTAACCCGAGGATTGTACGGGTAGCCGGGATGTTACATTGAGTAAGAGACACAACCCAAGTGACAAACGAATATCCGTTGTGTAATACTGAACATTTGACATAGTTTTAGTGGCATACGGGTATCCGCTACGTCATAGTCACGCTCACGTCAATTATAGCTATACAAAAGTGCCCGCTAAAACATGTAACCGCTCAACATGCAGAGTTCTGTCTGTACGTTGGCACGTTTATAGTAGAGGCAGTATAACCACGCTGTTAAACATCTGTTAATGTTTTTATGAAATGTTATTAGATGTCGTCTGCAGTGCTCGAAGTGCAGATAATGGACAAATGAAAAAGCGATTTAATTGGTGGAGAAAGATTGGGGTGAAAGGATAATGAGTGAGTGAGCGAGAGTAAAACTGATTTTGTCTTTAAAGGTGTGAAAAACTTCAGCTCAACTTTTTCTCTCATAACGTTTGATAATCTGTCATGTCTTTTTATGCTGATGTGATCGGGGAAAAATAGGTAATTAGTCTCTTATTTGAGGCTTAAATTTGGAATCACGGGTCTGTATAACACTCCTGCACATTTATATGATTCAATCTTGTTGTTGATGTTGATGATGTTGATGATGAGAATGGAGAATATGATGATGATGATACCAATCATTAGCGTGCAATTTTGAAGACTATAGTCTAATAGCGACCGTTTAATCCTTGGATGGAACAAGTAAAAAGTGTCGCCAAGCTCATGTGATTTGATGATTCTTTTCATCGATGATAGAAGCCGGCAATGACAGCTCAGCTGATATCCTAATTTTCATGTATTATGAAGCAAATCCTGCTTTTTACACAGACTGTTTATAATGGCAGGGGAAGTAACTCTAGCAGGAACTCATAGCTTCTCACCATTTCATTGTACATAGTTATTATTGATCACATAATTATTGAACTGTTAGTAATATACATTTGTAAGTATGTTATTGTTATAACTCGTTGTATGTACATTAAAACCTGGAATAATAAAACAGAACTTTACAAGTCACGTTATCCTCGATTTTTTAAAACCTTTTCATATCATAGGCAAATGTTCATACATTTGTATCCTAATTATGGCGAGGATATGGTGATCCTGTGTAATGTAAATTATTTTTTCCTAATAATTACGCTCAGTACAGAAGAAAAAATATCAAAGTTTGGTCAAATGGTAGATCAACCATTTTTGCGGACACAAGGTAATTTATCTATGGTTTCTATGGAAATCCTTTCCGTCAGGCGACTAACACCAATCGGGACTATTCGGTAATTTCCGTCAAAGTTGTAATTTGAGGTCTTGACATGATTAATCCCTGATTATTCTTATTATATGACGGAAAAATCCGACAATGCCTGGTTGGAAAAATAATTCAGAGTAACATTTATTAATGATATTCCTCCTTACGATATTTGAGTAAGTAGACATTTTCAGAAGTCTGTACAACGAGAACTTAAACATTTAAATCCCAGGATGAGCGTTCCCGATACTGATATATTGCCCACGACTAAAACATTTGAACTGCCACAAAGGGAGACAATTCCTGCATTTCTACATAGACAAAATGAAGCAAGCGAAGCAACTCGAACGGAAAATTAAAAGACAAAATTATGATGGATGCACTTTATGATTTCAATTCGAGAAACTGATATTTATTTCGCGTTTATCATAAAAAATTAGTTGACTATTTGATATGAACTATTTCGCCCAGTGGAACCCTTCATTTTATATATTGAAGACTGGAATAGAATAAACAAAAATCCTTTCCGGTCTGATTCTTACAAATATATCTCGACATTTCAAGGTATACTTTCCCTTTTGCTTTCAGTGAATGACGCTTTCTAAGCGTTAGTTATACCTGTTTGTTGTGTCAACTCTGGTATCCCAGGTTCCAACACTCCTATAAGATTAAGAAACCAGCAAGACAACATACATAATATATAACACTGAAAATTTATTCCGAACAAGCAGTATTCATATTGACATAAACTTTGCAGGAGAAAAACGGTATAATAATATAAAGCTATAAATATATATAAAAAATATCTTCAAAACATGTTTAGAAGAAAAAAACTATCACAGATAAAAAATCATATCATGTTTCATTGTAAGAGTTAAATATAAATAATCTATATGAATTTGTCCTGTATTTTTCAATAAAACAAGATCGATTTCCCTCAATAAATGCTGAGAATGTTAAACACATATGTCAAGTTGTTAAAGTTACAGAAGATTGATGTGATACCATCAGTGTTCTTTTGTATCTCGATAGACCGACAAGTGACAAAATTATATCAAGGCTTTGTTAAGTTAGATATATTGACAACAATTGGCTTGAAAAATATAATGATATATATAAATAAACAAAGAAACAAATAATTGATAATGACAACACACATCCGTGTCTGTTAATATCTAATCAAACATCACAAGAGAGTAGAGAGTCAGTTGCTGTATCCACCTCGGCAACGCGAGCCCCGACTAGTCCTGTGTAAGGTCCTAATGCTAACTAGTGGTGGGACCTTCACACCTCCTTTGTGCACATGATTAAGCCAATGTTCCAATGTCTGCCTTTCAGACGGGTAAGAGATGGTTATGGTACTACACCTATGAGATATCACTGTTTACTAATTTTACCAAAATATTTCTAACACCAATAGTATCTCATCCGACAGCGATAGCGGTCATGTCTGTATACTCTGCTTCGACTGTAAAATAATCAAAATAGAATGATATAAAAGTTGTTTTTACATTCCAAAAACGATTTTACAAAAAAAATGTTTTGCCTTAAATAGTTGCAGTGATATTATCTAACACACATATATATAAACTCACGCTTTCAACAAATTATGTATTTCAAAGAAACATACCTCTCTGTTGTTGCTACGCTGCCAGTGATATTTTCGTTCGAGCTCCGGTAAACTTTCCAGTGCGACCCCCCTGCATCATGTCGTAGAGTAACTGACCTCCCTTCGTTTACTGTTGTGAATTTTTTAGAAGGAATTCGGTAACCTTTTTTGACGCTGATTTTTGTGCACTTTCCCAGCTCTTCTAGTTTCCTGAACACCCAGAGTCTCCTGTTATCGACCGTGAACCAGACTCCATCCCGGTCGACAACGGTTATAGGCGGTATGTGACTGATGTCACACTCTCCTTTCAATAGGGCGTCTAACGTTTCACCGATTGGTCTTTTAGCATGAGCAGACTTTTTGTCGAATTTATTATTGATAGAATCCTGGCTAAAACGTATTTGACTCGGACGTAGATCCATATTCATTCCTTGTCTAACAAAATATTAGTCACGATTAACAGTTTTTAAATAGATCTATCTATTTTTATCCTACCAAGAAATATCATTGTAAGTTTCGGTTTTCAGTTTAGGATTACGTCACTCATTTATACAAAGATCACAGCCATTCCCTTTTGTTTATACATTGAAACATTTCCAAATGTAAACTAGGACCTTAACCTTCATTTTACGCGTTAACCAATTAGACAATCGTTCATAATTCCTATCAAAACAAGACCTTTTAAGATAATAATTATGTCATTGAAGGACTGAAAGGTTGCTGACTTCTAGAGCCTTCGAATTTATAACATGCCTCCCACTATGACATGACAATCATTAAAGGTAGCAGCTCATATGTATAGTCTGACATAGTGATTAAGTTGCATTAATATTTCCTTCAAAGGAAGTATTTGCTGATCAAAGATTCTCGGAACAGAAATACTCATGGTTTCGATTTCGTTTTGCTGACTTGCGTTATAGACTGCATCTGTATACTAGTGTCAAGCATATCGTTTCCTTATATCGATTTTACCTATGCTTATAGTGTATTGAGTAACATTTTGGCACAGGGACAGCAGTAATTGTATTGGCCTCTATGACGTATGTTATGAATTTTTTGTTGACAACGTTTCAATAAGCTTAACAATGTTTCGTCGGTGGTGCATGTATGTTATGAGTGATCATTGTGTTTTGTACGTGATATTGAAACATTGCTTTTTGTACCTTATTTGTATGTTTTTCTAAATTTTGGTAACAGCACATTACACTTCCAACATTTACGATGCATTCTAATCAGCTCGCTCACTCGTTTACATTCTTTGAACAATTCATACTTTGCCTTTTTTTACCTAATTGAAATTGATATTGTATCCTATTAAAAATAACAACAAAAACAAAAGAAAAAATAACTGTAATATATGATAGTAAATAGAAAAAAGTTATTTTGAAGTGAACGTTTTAACATTGACATCAATTTGATGTACCTTTTTTAGCAGAAAGAAAAGAAATAATAAAGAAATAAGAGGAGGCATTAAAGAAATAGGAAGGACTAATAATTACAATTATTACCAGGGTATAAAACAATATGCTATTTTATGTAATGAGTATTTTTTTGCTATAGAGAATGCAATAATCTGTCTCTTTTTTCCATTCATTTAAAAACAAAATTCAGATAAGTATCACCTTTACCTGTAGCACTATATTTTTAAGAATTATATTTTCCTTAATTAATTTGTTTGGAGCTTGAATTGATAGGTGAGTCAGCAGATATCTACCGTTATATATATATATAGCTTTATAATTAGAATAACTGGGTTATTCATTGTTTTTGTCCATTATAGAGAACAAAGATAAAAGATTCTTTATTAAAAGCAAATGGGATTAATATCAAATCTAATAGAAATTCGAAATCTGAGTATTTGTACTTTTTCACTTTCCCAAAATGCATGGACAATTGTTTCATTTTCAGTTTTACAATGAAAACAGTAAGGATTATCAACAAGGCCATTTTTGAATAAATGTCAATTAGATGGTAAGATATGATTATTAATCCTAATTTTAAGCCATTACAATTTTGTATTTTAGATAACTTTAAAGGGAATGGTATAGATTTGTCTCCATATTTCCTCATTAAATCAAAAATTTCATTCCATTTCTTTCTTCGAGTGGAGATAACATATTTAGGCATACTAATTTATAAAGCAATATTGAAAATGCTACAAAAAGATTATTTGCTATAAATGTAAAAAGCGTATACTTTACTTTATCGCATGTCTATTTTAAGAATAAACCATTATATTCAACTACGCACTCACACTCGTGTAAGCCCTGTGTCGAGTTGTGTTTTACTGTTTAATGACTGTAGGGTCCTGATGGATCTATATTATTAACAACGGACAACCACAAGTCTATCGAATAGTCTAAAAATAGTTACACCTCATATATTGACGGGTATGGAATATAGTGTACATGACCAAGGCAACATAAAGTGATATGCTTTGGATTAAGCCCCTTAAGCTGACTATGCTACAGTCCCATTATTAAGATAGCCCAGCATTATTTGTCCTACACACCTTCACTAGGAAGGGACGTTTGGACATATCATGGACGTATAGACCTTACCATTCGTTAATTAAGTCGCTATGACAAACGTTTGGATTCACAATCCTATTATAATGGGTTAAGAATATGTCTATAGTTATCAAGGCAGTGAATCATTTAATGCGTTCGAGAATTTGTCCCGCATGTTGAATGCTTTCGACCTCCTATAGTTGGACAAATCACCCCCTTTTTATAAGAACCCCTGGCATGAATGAGACATAACTAGCCACTTAATACGGGTTTAACGCTTTTTCTGCGAGGTCACATTCAGTTGCCGATATAATGCTGCCATCAGCTAAAACAACATTTACATGTATATATTGTTCATACGATACCAACGCTGATTATAAAATCAAATCCATTACAATATCATGTCATGATATTGTTTCTACTAGGCCATAACAACATGAATCACTCTAGACATCCATATTAATGCAGTTGTGCTGTTTTCACCGTGAGATAAATTCATAGGAAGAAAGTAACAGTCACTTACTTATTTTGGTTCGAATCTAATCATTTTTGTATTGAATCTTTTTTCAAAACAAAAATCTTCAGGAAGATTCCGAAATTAAGATTGACAGACATTTTTCCTATGTCAATGATGGTAGTAGAAGTATGATTTGTACCGATCAGTTTATTCGGGCAAAAACAATACAGTAGTGCTTTGTCTAAATAAATTAAAAACATTTTTTTTTTATTTGCCTAACGTTTTCAATGTGATGTAAACTATGTTTCATGTCTCATTTTTAGTTTTTTTTTAGTTTTATAAATAAGAATCACAGTGTCATTTTGATAAATATGATGATGGTGGTGGTGCTGGTGGTGATGATGATGAAACTATGATGAACAAACGAGTCCTGCATTACTACACAATTATGGCAAGGGAAGTAACTGGAGTAGGAATCATGTTTTAACTTGAGTTCATTTTTATTATTGATCATGTTAAAACTGTAAGTAATATACATTTGTAAGTACGTATTTGTAATAGCTAGTTGAGCAACTTGACAAATTTACGATGTTTTCAATTTTGTAATCAATTTTTTATATCCTTATTTTTCATGTCATAATCAAGATGTTTTAAAAGTTGTTCTGTTTGGTGTTATTGAGGAAGAGATTCTGATTGATGAGAGAGTTAAATGAAAATATATTTGATGCTATCTATTTTAACTTTAAACGACAATTTTGTTTATCCAAAGAGGTGGGTTTGTGACTTGACTTTAGCACATTTATATTCCAAAAGATATTTCGCAAACAAATCGAACACAAATTTTACAAACATTTCAAAATCCTCTTCGAATATAAACTTTTTATCGCAAAGCCTATCATGCAACTTCAGAGTGACTTAACTTTTGATGATAACATATAGTTAAGATATTTAAGAGAGGATACAAAGAAGAGATAGACAAAATATATCGAACAAAGTTAACACAAGTTGTGTGATATAACCTTTTTCATGTATGCATGTCTTTCAAAGACATTAGCGGTTGATAGGACGTTATTTATTACCTGTCATTCACGATAAGTTATATAAAAAATGTACTTATCAACAACATCGATACTATGCCTGGTTTGTTTTAGATTTGAATTAAGTCTTTTGAACAAACAAAGATATTACCATAAATTGCGTGCACGAGATGGAGATTGGTAACCTTCAGACCAACAAGGGAAGTAATTACTGCTTTACCACCTAGATTGATACGCAGGGGGAAGTAACTCAACCAAAAACTCAAAAACAAATATTCTGTATATATATTATCGACCTGCAAACCAGCCTGTATTTGACAGAAATTATCCTGATGGAAACGTAAACCGAATACAATTTTAATTCGAGAAACGAATTATGACTTAGAAACGAAATATGACTTTCTAATTCTCTTTTGCACCAATATATGGTTTTTCAAAAAATCTCACATCTTCATTTCTTCCATATATTTGCAATTTGATGTAAAAACTAGTGTTCCATCCGGTGTGAGTCTAACTAATGTTTTCTGATTTTGTAAATTGTTTTTTGTTTTTCACTAATTTACAACTATCACTATACAATTAGAAAAACTTGAACACAACATGCATAAAAAATATAAAGCTCTCGAATTTATTTTAAACTCGCAATTTTCTTATATACAATTTGGCAAAACATCGGAATAACTTAAAACTATAAACATATCAAACCAATACATTTAAAACAATTGAAATAGTAAAAATAAAGATCACAATTTCACAATCATATATCCCTTTACATGAGACGGTTAAGAAACGCCCTTTGATGTGTCCGGTAAGACTTGTATGCATGTGGACACTTGACCTATCAGAGCATCAGATTAAATTATTCTTAGTGACATACAGTGCCCGGTAAGACATATATACATGTGGACACTTGACCTATCAGAGCATCAGATTAAATTATTCTTAGTGACATGCAGTGCCCGGTAATACATATATACATGTGGACACTTGACCTATCAGAGCATCAGATTAAATTACTCTTAGTGACATAAAGTGTCCGGTAAGACTTGTTTACATGTGGACACTTGACCTATTAGAGCATCAGATTGCATTACTCTTAGTGACATAAAGTGCCCGGCAAGACTTGTATACATGTGGACAGTTGACCTATAAGAGCATCAGATTAAATTATTCTTAGTGACATACAGTGCCCGGTAAGACATATATCCATGTGGACCCTTGACCTATCAGAGCATCAGATTAAATTATTCTTAGTGACATGCAGTGCCCGGTAATACATATATACATGTGGGCACTTGACCTATCAGAGCATCAGATTAAATTATTCTTAGTTACATACAGTGCCAGGTAAGACATATATACATGTGGACACTTGACCTATCAGAGCATCAGATTAAATTACTCTTAGTGACATAAAGTGCCCTGTAAGACTTGTATACATGTGGACACTTGACCTATCCGAGCATCAGATTAAATTATTCTTAGTGACATACAGTGCCCGGTAAGACATATATACATGTGGACACTTGACCTATCATAGCATCAGATTAAATTATTCTTAGTGACATACAGTGCCCGGTAAGACATATATACATGTGGACACTTGACCTATCAGAGCATCAGATTAAATTACTCTTAGTGACATAAAGAGCCCGGTAAGACTTGTATACATGTGGACACTTAAACTATTAGAGCATCAGATTAAATTATTCTTAGTGACATGCAGTGCCCGGTAATACATATATACATGTGGACACTTGACCTATCAGAGCATCAGATTAAATTACTCTTAGTGACATAAAGTGCCCTGTAAGACATGTATACATGTGGACACTTGACCTATTAGAGCATCAGATTAAATTACTCTTAGTGACATAAAGTGCCCTGTAAGACTTGTATACATGTGGACACTTGACCTATAAGAGCATCAGATTAAATTATTCTTAGTGACATGCAGTGCCCGGTAATACATATATACATGTGGGCACTTGACCTATCAGAGCATCAGATTAAATTATTCTTAGTGACATAACGTGCCCGGTAAGACTTGTATACATGTGGACACTTGACCTATTAGAGCATCAGATTGAATTACTCTTAGTGACATAAAGTGCCCGGCAAGACTTGTATACATGTGGACAGTTGACCTATAAGAGCATCAGATTAAATTACTCTTAGTGACATAAAGTGCCCGGTAAGACTTGTATACATGTGGACACTTGACCTATCAGAGCATCAGATTAAATTACTCTTAGTGACATAAAGTGCCCGGTAAGACATGTATACATGTGGACACTTGACCTATCAGAGCATCAGATTAAATTATTCTTAGTGACATAAAGTGCCCGGTAAGACTTGTATACATGTGGACAGTTGACCTATAAAAACAATTATTATTATTTTCATAACATATAACATGAACATACCTTTCTGTAACACAAGCTTTGAAAAATACCCTTCTACAAGCTATCTAGACTGGCCCCCGTCTCTAGAATATTGGATTATTTAGAAGAAAAAATACCTCTAATATCTTTTATCACTTGGATGCCTAAGTTGAAAACTAGTGGGAGATAAGCTAGTAGTAAAATGTAGTTGAGAAAATTTTCATAAAACTTAGGGGCTGGTAGCCAGTCTACAAACTATCAAATAAATCATTCCCTCTAGCAAATGAAATGTTATCCATTTTCAAGCAAAGTTTGTAATTGGTCTCCGTCAAAAAGAATTATGATTTATTAAAATAAACATCTACAAAGTTGTCCTTATTGTTTAACTGCAATGTTTTCAGTGCCATGTTACTCAACTGTCACTGTTTCACCCATTTGTACAATGTCCAACAAAGTTAGCCATGGTCGGTCAGCCCTCATTTTCTCTAAGAATTCCTCCTCGTCGTCCTTTACTGTCGCCTTAACCCTCAGGCTTGGGTCGTATTGCCTCGCACTCTTGTACGACCAAAGCCGTCGGTTACCGTCCAGCGCCCACTGCTCGTCGAAAGCCCGATAGACGAGAATGGGATTGGTGAACTGATAGGAAGAACCAAAAGGAGGAGCCTTGATGGATTCTTTGGTGTAACGGACGTCTGCTGGGTCCAGCAATTCGACCGATGCAAGACTTGGAGATGGAGCAGTCGTGCGAGAGTATATCGGAGAAGCAAATCCTGTCGAACTAAACCGACCAGCTGCTGGCTGCATATAACCTGGACTGTAACATGTTAAAACAGAGTATTATAATACGATATGGTATATTTATGGTAAGGCAGCTCCTGCGAATTCCTCAATATTGTATTGATTAATGTATATGCTAATTGTATTGATTTTATAAAATTGTATATGTATGAACTGTAAAGCGGTTTAGAGTGGCTTATGTCAGCTAAATATGGCGCTATATCAAATGTTGTATATATTTAGAAAAAACCCCACCAATTATGTAGTCCTATAGTACCAAAATTACTTTTGTAGTAAATAACATGTCGTTAATAAGTTTAAAAGTTTTCAACTAAGAGATGAAGGTATTGGAATAGGACTCCGTTACGTAGCATCATGATAATTATACAGTTCAATTACAATCCTGATGCATCACTCAAAATTACAATCAAAATATCTTATCGTTTTGGGCGGTTCTGTTTGATTCATGATATTACAAATAACGTAAAAAAGATATAAGAGACTTTGTTTTCAGTAAAAAGGTATTTCTTTCTTTACAAACCATTTTCTCAAGGAGACAGATATCAATAGAAACCATTTAGGAAATTCTGTGGAGTATGAATTTGACGTCACAAAATGATGGGCCAGCGATTCCTTCAACAATATGACGGAAAGACACGAAAAGTCTGGCAGTTGTTTATGATATGCTTACAGTAAGAACATTTTGAGTTGGTAGGTGCGTTCAAAGGCTGTACAACGAGGAAATGTAAATATTGAATATAATTTGTAAGTAAACGTACCTGTTTCTTGTTACATCAGAGCCCATAAATTGTCTCTGGAATGAACTTGGAATCGCCGATGGTACAGGTATGGATCTATTTCCTTGAAACTCAAATTGAGTTGGCATGCTTCTGGCCCCAAAGCTGGTAGAGTGATGACTCTGAGTTGATGTTCCCACGCTAGAGGGACGTGGATAAGTTTTCCAGTACGAGCCCCCTGCATCACGTCGTACAGTTATTGACCTCCCTTCGTTTACTGTTGTTAATTTTCTTGAAGGAATATTATAATCTTGTCGGACCGGGATATCGGTACATTTTCCCAGCTCTTCTAGCTTCCTGAATACCCAGAGTCTCCTGTTATCGACCGTGAACCAGACTCCATTCCTGTTGACCACCTTTATAGTCGGTATATCTGAGATGTTACACTGTCCTTTCAACAGGGCGTCCAGCGTTTCACCGATTCGTCTATAAGCATGTAATGAATTTTTGTCGAATATGTTATTGATAGAATCCTGGCTAAAGCGAATTTCACTTGGACGTAGATACATAATTCCTTCCTGCTTGAAAATGTTAACAAGTATCTATATTTATCCTTCTGGGAAATACCAGTTTCAGTTTTGTTTACGATAAGCATGACGTCATTCATGATTTGAAGTACCAAGAGCTTTCAAATAGATATAATCATTTTACTTAATTAATACACAGTAAAATGTATGTTAGCCATTATAGGTTTGTTTAAAACTCCTGCTGTAAGAAGAGAATTTCTATACGTACTTATGATGAAATTAAAACCAAACCCGGTTTTGCTCTGGATGAATGTGTTAAGATATGATATAATATATTTTAGTTTTTGGGATCACAAAAATGAATAGACCAAACAACAACTGTTTCATATGTTTATAGTTACTTTCTAAAAGTTGATTCAGTTAAATACTATGTCTTTGAAATCATTAATTTTGAATTTCAAATATTTGAGATATTAACTTAAACGTAAATTGAGACAGCCTTCATTATACCGTTTAACAGAGGAATTTTTTCATTTTCACAAAACAGGATAAGATTATTGGAATTCTAGTTGCGTTTTCTCTTCAGCTACAAGTTCGTATTCTTAGAAAACTAGTTTCGGTTTTGTTGCTGTGAACCTTGGTTGCGCTTTCTCTTCAGTTACAGGTTCGTATTCTTGGAACCCTAGTTTCGCTTTTGTTTCAGTAATCAGTATTACAGTATTTTTTTCTATTTAAAGAACCACTTAATTCTTGACACGGCCATATAGGGGGAAATAGGAATTGATCTTATAATTGAAACCTGTTAATGTTTTTCTACATGTACATACTAAGTAGTTTACATATGTACATGCATCTTTCTCAAGAGCTGGTATATTATTATTAATCTCACAATAGGTATTGACAATAGCTGAAGTGATAGTTCAAATATATTTCTATATAAGGTGCCTGGTGTCTTTCAGTATATTCATACACACTTTTTATACTATGTTAAAATAGTGACACTATATTTTTAATACATTTCTCTTATAGGAGTCTGATGTCTATAACTTGACAATTGTAGCAAACAATTAAATATGGTGTAACTCATGCCTTAATCACGAAAGCTCACGAGAAATGGTAATTGCTATTTCGATATTTGAAGTCGTGCATATTGACTTCAAATTCAGAAACCATTTAAATTCATCACATAGCGTTTATATAAGATCATTTGATAAAGTTATCCTTTCTTGATTTTTTATTTTTATTTACTTCAATTTTGTTTACTTTTGAAGAAGAATTAATGCATAATTTACGATGTATTTCATTGCTAGGGATCGAAAGCAATTGGTCAGTTATTCAATATTAGATTTAGAGCCCTGGATTCAGTTTTCTTAAGAAGTCACTTTTAGAAATGGCACGTAAGGGTTCAATTTGTCTAATGGTCACTGTCGAAGTAGGGTCCTTGTCTAAAGATATTTATAACTATTCTCGTCATCAGAGATATTATCATCGGAACAGTCGTCGTCAGACAATTGATCTTCCATGCGTTTCAAAAGGTGTCCCCCCGGACCGCCACGTACATAAATAGACGTCCCGTCACATTTTGTTGTAAATTTTCCTGAGGGAATATAAACGTCTTCAATGACCGGGATCTTTTTACAATGACCCAGCTCTACTAACCTCCGGAACACCCATAACCTCCTGTTATCGAGCGTGTACCATACTCCATTACTTTTCACGAAAGTTTTGGTCGGTATGTCCGAGATATCACACTCTCCTATCAACAGGGCGTCCAATATGAAGCCGATTTTGCTATTGGCATGCTCAGATTGTTTGTCAAAAACAGTACAGATTGAATCCTGACAAAAACGTTTTTTCCTCGGACGTACAAATATCTAAATTTAGTTTCGGTTTCGATTTAGGATTAAAGCTACGTCATTCGTAATGAGAAGTACTAAGATCAATATGTCACGTCGTAATATGTGTAAAGTAAACATTGTGTTAGATTTAAACAAAGATCCTTGCACTAGAGAAATATTGCTATCAATTCAATCATTTTCATAATTCCTTTGATTAAGTATGAGTACATTGTATGTAGCAATATTATAAAGTCTGTAAGACTGTAGACTTCAATAGCAGACGACAACACATGTACTTTATCCACAATATGTTATGTGCTTTAACTCATTCACCCCTTAGGACACATTTGAACTCTTCCAATTCAAAGGTTGAACTAGTTGATTATGAAATGTAAGGAATGAATGAGTTATCGAGCTCGTCAGTCGTATACTGTCGGATTTAGATAATGAAAGTTTAAACATCCTATGAATAGGATCTAAAAAGAATGTTAGGAGACTTTTTTTATTTGAGTTATTACGGTTATCATGAACTCTCAGTATACAAACGATTTCTGTACTGGAAGCCATTCCAGAGATAAAACGACGACAGACATTATTTGAAAACGAACACTATACGATATATTCATATGTTTCAGTTATATTTTTATTCTCTGCTAAAAGCATACACATCATAAATTGTATATCAGTTATCTTCAAAAAAAAACCATATACGATATGCAAATGTTAAAATCATAATCATTATGAAAAGTGTTACATGTGTATAAAAAGATTTTTGTATTAACACTTAGACCTTATCCTGCTTTATTAAGTCTATTTCGTTTTTGTATGCTTTCAGATAGAGCTTAAGCACTTGGTTTACAACACGAATCATTTGATAAAATAAAGCAATATTTTCCCTTCATTTAGATACTGATGAAAACTTAAATGCATGATAATGTTACACATACTGACACGGTTTATGCTATACACACTTTACTAGTTATGTTATATGAAATAAAACAATATCACGGTATAACGCAATAATGTGATAACAAACAGTTTGATACATATAGCGTATCAAGTTTATCTATTGAACTAACACAGTTGTTTAGTTATCAGAAAATTGATTCAGATTCTAGAAACCGGAAGTTCACAGGTTCGCTTTCATTTTGCATGACCTATCTTGCTGTGATACTACTAAAGGTGTGGTGTTATCATGTCGGTTTTGTTTTTGTCAATGTTATCTATTCAAATCTGTCCAAATGACAGTGCAAAGTCAATTTAATTTAGATAAGGGAGATAAACCAGTCAATTTGTATCGTGCTTTATTTTATTAGTGTTCGATAAAAATCTATTTCAATGCACAAACTAACAAAATAACGACGGAAGATTAGATATTTGTTTATTTGATAAGAAGATATGAACATAAATAGTATAAATATTTTGGTCCATCAAATGAAAGTTCGTTATAACGATTTGGAGCATTGAAATTATCATCTTTGTCTTTTTTATCCATTGTGGTTGTTAAAACTAATATATTCATTTGTCACAACTTTCATTTATTGCGTTTGGTACTTTGTCTTTACGTTTATATCAAATAAAATGACTCGCATATGTGTACGTCGGTTTCCGATATGCAGGTGTAAATACATACAGGTGTGGATTACGGATTACGAATGTCTCCGGGGTGGTATATTTGCTGCAATATCGTATAAGACGCTTACCAGTAACATTGCACAAAGACTCCGATAGAATGACACAAATTGTGGTAAAATTTGATAGTAATTCATGCTTAATCTTCATTAACAAACATTCAATTATCTAATTTATGTAATAGAAATATATATTACATGGTATGCCAATTAAGGTTTATATAAACCGTTTTTCAAACACAAACTGATTCCCCTTTCCCTCCAACAAATGAGTTTTGAATACACGTTCTTTTCATCAAGTAAGCGTTGAAAAATACCTTTTGAATCACATCTAAAAAAATCACTCAAGCTCAATCAAACTTTATAATAATACACTTTTTACAAACTGTTTAATGATTAATATAATTATCACAAGCACTGTTGTGAAAGCGTAACACTAATTGATTTTGAAACATTATTCCATGATTACTGTTTCACTCCTTGTAACAACACTGTCGTGTACCTGTGTACGGCAACTGTTGATTTGTGTCGTTTCTTGTTTACACTTCGACTGATTTCAGTAAATCAACAGAGCACATTGGTAATGTGTTGTTTTCCTCGACTAATTGTTATTTTGACTATGAAGTAATGTCATAAAAGAAGATTAACTAGCGACTATTTCGAACTTTTGTTTAGTTTATACATATTAATTTACCTGTATATGTATAGAAACAGTATAAAAAAGCTAATTTTGATCTAACAATCACTGAAATCAGCCGAAGCGTGAACAGGAAACGGCACAAAACAGCCGTGACCTTACACAGCTATACGAGAGTGATCAAATGATCATGCCCAACATGATAAGCCAACCACTGTAGATCATCCTCATCGTTACTCATATCGGCACCTGCTTTAAAGCTCGGGTCGTATAAGCTGAATATTTTTACGACCAGCGCCGTTGGTCATTTATCTGTTCTTGTCCGAAAATCCGAAGCACGAGGAATATTTTGCTGAACCTGAAGAAAGGACCAGGAGCAGGAGCATATTGATTGTGTATTTTATGCAAGTGATTTTCATTGGGTCACAGTATTCAATATGGAGGGATCGTGAGGAATGACTTTGCACAGGAAGCGGACGATCTGGAAATAGGCAAGTGTACTCCTGAAGGTCCGAATCCTCGTCTATAACAAATTAAAATATTATAAAAGCATGGCGTGTAAACCTTAGCACAGACAAATCATAAAACAACAAAATGTAAACTACCATGCATGCTTTAGGTTGATTCATATTTGCTGCTGTTCAATAAAATTAATTCTAACACGATTCGTTTGCAACGCGTGTTTTGATTGGATACGGACCATGTTCTAATCTGCGATAGAATCATGATCAATCGTGTTAACCTCCCATCGCACTTAAGCCACGCCCCGTTTCTAGCCAAAACAATATGGCGTCAAGCTCGCCTCTTAGCGAAATCCCGCTGATAAAGCTAGTAGGCAACAGAACAGAAACGACCGATAAAATGCATTTGTTGAATGAATTAAAAAGTAAAAAGTACACATCCCTTGTTCTTACCTCCATTTATTACTGAAACGTTCGTTCCATCCGTGTGAAGGAATCTATTTAGATCTGAAATCAAATGAAACGTTTCACACATGTCGTATGCATTTACACAAAACTCTTTAAAAATCTATACAAATAATCACCGATTTTGTCGATAAGCACAGATTGGTATGCATATTGACATGGAAATGTAAGAACTTGGTCAATATTAATCCAAATTTGTCGTATAAACTTTGATAACAGGACGTTCACGAACAATCCAAATATTCCGCCTCGTCAACATACAGATCGAGCTCTCGCCAGTATGGGCGGGGCCAAATGACCGACTTTTGAAAGCTTCTTTCCGATTGGTCAGTCCGCTGCAGAATGACACATCGCCAGTTCAGGTCACAAAGTATTTTACTACGTACTTTTATACAAGGAAATACAATGTTTCTAAACATATTAGCGTAGTATATTTGTTAAGGTGTGTTAGAATGGGGATAGTACGTTGTTTTTCGTGTCTATACTGGCGATTAGAACATGAAATTTGGTTTAAACTCTCGACCTATCGGTCTCGAGTTCAAACCCAAATTTCATGTTCTAATCGCCAGTATAGCCACTCAAAACAACGTACTATCCCCTAAATATAAATCAAATGAAATAGTATAAAGACGTGTACAATGAATCAAATGTGTAAGAATATGTACCAATTTGTTCTTGAAACGCCCTTCGTCTTTGTGATCTTCTGTTATCAGAGTTACGGGACCTCAACCTTGCGGAACGTGAATTCGGCCCAGGTGTACCAACTGTAGACGGATTCTGCAGTGTCTTCCAGTGATGACCACCTGCATCGCCGCGGCATACCCGAACTGTCCTCCCGCCATGCTTCATTGCTGTTAGTGTTTCTTCCGTCAAACCGTCATAAACTCTTCGGACGGGAATATCTATACATTTTCCGAATCTCTCCAGCATCTGAAACACCCACAGCCTCCTGTTATCAAGTGTGTACCAGAATCTACGGCTTTTGACGACCCTGATTTCTGATATATCAGATATTTTAAGATGTCCTGTCAACAGATCATCCAATGTTTCGCCGATTTGCTTATTGGGATGATCTGAGTCTCTGGCAAAAACATGATTGATAGAATGCTGGGTAAAACGTATTTCACTCGGTCGTAGAGTCATCATTTCTCCCATTAGGACAATGTAAGCATATCACCCGTATTACAGAAATCTATGTATGGCTCTTAGGGATAAACATATATTAGTTACACGGTATATGATAACGTCATTACCGATAGGAGATAAGATGTTTATTATCCATGATATAATTGTATAAAACGCATGCACTCGGATAATTGATTTATATATATATCCTATACACGTATCATCAGATAAATTGGTTTGATACTTTTGTATGTATGCATTATTGGCTATGAAATATGATAACTATGAGTAATTATGACCTCTACGTGACATTTATATGGCTAAGAAAAGTAATGGGATATTCATTTCTTAAACAAAATTTAGAAAATCACAGAATACTAATAGAAACATTTTATTGATATTTGCTATTTTGAAAAAAGTCCCAACAGATTAGATTGGATTGAAAGTTTCATATCCTATATTCATACAAAGACACGGTACGTTCCATAAGCTTTTTACTTATGAAATTCATAGTATCATGTGGTCTCTCATAGCAAAATTTAATTCCGAATTAATGATCTGAATCACTCTTGTATGACAATAACTAGATATGTGGATTGCTTAAGCTTTTGCTAGAATGCGTCGCTAGACCTATGTTATTCCCATCGTTCTTCTTAGCAGGTTCCATGATGTATCTCATACGGCATATTTACATAAATCATATACAAAAGCACGAATCAACTTGACGGAGTTGGTGATTCTGGCATTAGTTTATGTCAGTAAACAATCTTAATGCTAAAGGATAATTATATCTGAATAATTGGATGATAGAAATAATTGACAACTGTCTACTAAATAATTGAATAATTTAGTTATATAAAATTGGCATTTGTCAGATATTGTATGTGATCAAACAAATATGTTTAATCATATAATCAAATAAAAAGGGGATAACTACACAATTAATAATACCCTAAATTGGAGCTCTTGTTTGTGATTATAACTAGTGTAGTAGTGCTCTTTACTTAAAAGGAAAATGCCAGTGAAAGAAAATGTATTGATAATTTGAATGAAGGATTACATGTAGTGAACTATTGTCTGTTGCTGGAACAAGTGATCAAATTTTCAAGATAGAAATGAANATGTGAATAACGTCAATACGTCAATAACGATAGGAGATAAAATGTATGTTATCCATGATATACTTGTATAAAATGCATGCACTCAGATAATTGATTTATATATATCTCCTATACAAGTATCATCAGATAAATTGATTTGACACTTTTATATGTAGTATTATTGGCTATGAAATATGATAACTATGAGTAATTATGACCTCTACGCGACGTATATTTGGCTTAGAAAAGTAATGGGATATTCATTTCTTAAAGAAAGTTTAGAAAATCACATAATACTAATAGAAACATTTTATTGATATTTGCCATTTTGAAAAAAGGTCCCAACAGATTAGATTGGATTCAAAGTCTCATTGTCCTATATTCATACAAAAACACGGTAAGTTCCATAAGCGTTTTACTTAAGAAATGCATAGTATCATGTGGTCTCTCATTGCAAAATTTAATTACGAGTTAATGATCTGAATCACCATTGTATGACAATAACTAGATATGTGGATTGCTTATGCTTCCGCTAGAATGCATCGCTAGACCTATGTAATTCCCATAGTTGAACAAGTGATCAAATTTTCAAGATAGAAATGAAAAAAATAATAAAAAATATTTAAATAAGAAAAACGGACATGCATGGTTTATTTCTTGAAGGTGAAAGTTTTTATTCATATTAAGTCTTAGGGTATGCATACATTGTTTTCATCTTATCAATTAGGAAGTTGTCACTTTTCATAACCTTACATTAATGTGTCTTTATGGAAAAGAAACTTGATACAACTACGCCAAGGAACCTATGTATAATAACATCACAAGTCAGATTTACCTTTGATATCCAGTGTATATATCAAACAAAAACCACATAAATGTGGAATATACTATAGTTATACCTTTTGTGTATAATCTAGTGTAAATGTATTATGTATATTTTGTGTATACTTCTAACAAAACCTAGAAACAAAAGGTGTCATAATGTGTGTATAGCATCTGTGTTAAATCTTATATATTATGTATATTTTGTGTAACATTTAAACAAAAAGTAGAAATAGTGTGATATGTATTATAACTACCTCATCTTGATAGTCAGTATCTAGGTCTTGGTACTCCTCCGCCTCACTTTGATAGTCATTCTCTTGGTCTGGGTCGTACTCATCTGCCTCATCTTGATAGTCATTCTCATGGTCTGAGTCGTACTCATCTGCCTCACCTTGATAGTCATTCTCTTGGTTTGGGGCGTACTTATCTGCATCGTCTTGGTATGTATTCCAATGGTATGAGTAGGACACGTCTCGCTCGTATTGATTTTTATTATCTTGCTTTGTGCAGTTCTCGTCACTTTCATCTTGATCTTTGTTTACAAGGCTTTGTTCTGATGAGTACTCTGCTTTCGTTTCAGACTGCATAGAACTGTTATAAAATATTGGCAACTACTGTATTAATGACCCTGTAGCTTCGTATCCTTTATGCATGTAGTTTGATATTTTATTACAACCCATGTTAATTCTACTCTTTTGATACAGTAAGTTTCAAACCATGCAATACGTACATAGTTCCAATAAGTTTCGTTAGGTTTATGAAACATCATTAACAATCCGTTATTCAAATGGGATATCAAAACGATTATGTTATCTATTGTTTCAATTTCCGTCAGTCGAAAAATGGATTTTTGTAACAATTTAGGAATTTTCAGAGATTTATTTTTATCTGACGTTACGACATGATTGTAAGCGAATAATCAAACAGTATGATAAAAGTAAAACTCAAACAGTTTTCAATAAGAAAAGATTCACGTGAAACTTTTGTGTTCTTTCATTAAAATCATTTTGAGTTATTGGTTGTATTAATACCATATACGATGGAACTATAAATAAAGAATAACATTTGAACGTTTACTTACCTATTAGCTTTTGATACGTTTCTGGTGATTCTGTTATCAGGGTACATGTCTGGTTTGTTAATTGAAGTCCGAACCACCGGTTTCACATGTAAGGGTGAAATACTTTGGAACTGATAGGGATAAGACATGCCTTTGGCCGCAAAGCATGAAGACTGTTCATTTGGTCCCGGCATTGTAGCACTATTGCTTTGTCGATGCTTATAAGATCTCAATGCATCATGACTTTTGAGACCTGGCCTGCCATCATTGATAGTTATGCATTTTCTAGAAGGAATCTCGTTACTTTCTGCAACCGTGATTTTAGTATATCCGTTTTCGTAGTCCTCATCATCAAAGGAATTGGATGATTGATCGTCAGAACACAAGTCATCATATAGCTGGTCATTATCCCAATGTCTCCAATGATAACCACCTGGATCGCGCCGGACACGAATATCTGTCCCGTCATTCAGTGTTGTTATTTTTTTCTGAGGAATCCTATGACCCTTTCCGACAGGAATTTTGGTACATTGTCCAAGCTCTTCGAGCTTCCGAAACACCCACAATCTCCTGTTATCGGCCGTGTACCAGTTTTCATTCATATAAACGACAGTTATAGGCGGTATCTCCGAGATTTTACACTTTCCTGTCAACAGGGCATCCAATGTTTCACCGATATGTGTATCGGCATGTTTTTTTTTTTCGTGAAAGACATTTCTGATAGACTCTTGACTAAATCGTATTTCACTCGGTCGTAGAGTCAACATTTTCTCGTTGACTGACAATGTAAATCAAGATCAATGCATCACTTGTGTGTATATATTTATCATCCTGGACTCTACCGATGTCATCTCTGCTTCAGGGAAAATGACGTCATTTAAAATCAGAGCTACTTTATTTAGATACACTCTATGATAAGGTCTTACGTAATACGTACGTATGCCAAAATGAACTCTGCATTAACCGTCTGTTTTCGGAAATGTGAACATAAAAGAGGAAGCATATATTCAATGATAAAATAAATGCAAAAAGAGAACTTCACAGCACACATTTGCACTTTTGTTTTTGTTACTTACCAATGGCTATTAAATAATCGAAGAACTTTTATTTTTACATTTCCTGTTATCATGCCGTTTTGATGTCATTTCTTTTATCGATTTAAATCAAGATATAGTAGAGTTCAAAGTCAATATAATTCAGATCAGGTAGATAAACCATCAGTCACTACTGTACATGTACTTTAAATACTATCATACATACTACTATATGGACAATGATGATAATGTCGTTCAGTAATCTTTTGTTTTCATAATGTATATAATGATATTAGCTAATCGTCATTGAGTTTTTGGTTGATACACCAATCTGTTTAACACTTTTATTTTTAGAAGTTTGAACAAAATGTGACATTGCTTTTACTTCTCATTTTTTGCTACCTCTTAACAAAATTCTCTGTTCATTTCATTTACATTAACTATAAGCATAACATGCCTCAATGGCACTATTATGAAACATCTGACTGTTACGTACACATCAATGTAATAAATGATAATTGAAATAAGATCGTGTGAAAAATTACATTTTCATTGAGGATTGACTGAGACGTTTTAAAAGGGTGAATATTGGCAACGATTTGCGCACTCTAGGACCAGTGAATGTCAGGCAAATCTATTAGAATGTATAGGTTATAATAAAAATTATTTTTACCCAAACCTTTTCCATAATTTTATAATGGCACAGTTCCGCTATCGCAATCCCGGATGGATTTTCGTAACCGTTCCGGTATTTACTAATCACTCATCTCTTCCGGGGAGTTCAACCAAGCACGCCCCAGTAAACAAACTCAATGAAGATTACCCGAGGCGATTAAATCGTATACTGTACAGGTAAATAACATGTTCGATAAACTACAGATGGCATCTCCATAGGCGTTTACCGTTGTTGACAAAAGACGATTGTCATTTATGTTAAAGAGAAATCTAATATCGGCAAAAAAACATCATTATTGACGCGATGGCGTTATGAAATGTCATGCTTGCCGATGATAGACATTTTTCAGCTATGTTGTGTTTAATGATGGACAAAAAATGATAAGAGAAACATGTTCTTACATCAAACGCAACTGTTATTCTTCTTTCTTGTGTTAATTATTATTTTTAAATATACAGGATTTCAAAAGTCATTTTGTACCTAAAGTAAAAAGCTGTTTGGCAAGCTACCCACAAATCACGAACTTCATAACATTGTGCATAACCTGAAATAAATTAAAAAAACGTTTTTTTCCCCTACATGTACAGTCAATAAATCATGTTACAATATTTTGTAGATGGGACGTAAATACTGTTGTGTACCAGGATGTTCCAATACATCAGCTAATGTAACTGAAGAGGGGAAAAAAGTAACCTTACATAGGCTTCCAATGGCAGAAAGTAGGAGTCACATAAAACAACAATGGATACGGCGTCTGCGCAATGTTCGAGCAAATCTAATTGTAAATGACAACACCAGAGTTTGTTCGGATCATTTTGAAGGGGAATTCATAGAAACCTCCGTACCATCTTTATTTCCGTCAAAACCACCAAAAGATGTCCTTAAGCAAAGAAGGCCCTTAGTACGCCATCCAATAGAAAATGAAAATAATTTTGGATTAGAGATGCTTTATGAAACTGTGCAAGTGTTTGAGGAGTCATATGCACAGCCAAATTCTGTTGAAAATGTATGCGAGTCTGAAGATAAAATCAAGTCGAAAACAAGAGTTAATGTTGAAACAAACACTTATCCAGTAATAAGTTGTGATGCGGCAAGTCAAACTTTTGTAGTTCCACCAGGAACTACAAAAGATGCAAGTACCCAAGCAAATTTTCCACACATGATGCCGGAAGATCTGAAAGGGGACGATGACAAAACTAGATTTTACACTGGCTTTGTAACTTTTTCAATGTTTTGGCACTATTTCTTAACCACGATGAAACATGGTGCAGATAAACTACACTACTGGGAAGGGGATAAAAGATCAGGCGGTGCTGAGAAACTTTACCATCAGTCTGACCATATGAAACCAGGTCGTAAACGATCTTTGCGTCCCGAAGATGAATTTCTATTAGTATGTATGAGATTGCGTTTGGGTTTACTTCAAGAACATCTTGGTGATATATTTTGTGTTTCTAAAACAACTGTTTCTCGTATTGTAAACACTTGGGTGAACTTCTTATATGCCCATGCAAAACACTTGGTCCCTTGGCCATCTAGAGAGCAGATTTTGTGCAATCTCCCAAAAAGTTTTCAGGATTACAAAGACTGTAGAGTAGTGATTGACTGTACAGAACTATTTACAGAAAAACCTTCTTCTCTCACAGCGCAATGGCTCACCTGGTCAGAATACAAACATTCTAATACATTTAAACTATTGATTGGTGTTGCGCCTAATGGACTTGTAAATTTTATCTCTCGTCTTTGGTGTGGTAATGCGTCTGACCGATACATTTTCGAAAATGATGACCTTCTTCCTAAGTTAAGTCCAGGTGACATGGTAATGGCAGATAAAGGATTTACAGTTGAAGATTTACTTCCAGTAAATATAAAGCTTAATATGCCACCAAGGATTCCAGGTTATCGACAGATGACCACAAATGAGTTTTTTCAGACTCAAGGTATTGCCTCTGCTCGTATCGTAGTTGAAATGAAAATGGAACAGTTTAAAAACTATCGGATACTAAGTGGCTCCTTACCTCTATCAGAGGCTCATCTAATTGAGCAGATGGCATTTTTATGCATTGCGTGGACAAATCTTTTGCCCCCATTAATGAAATAAATGTTGAATCTTACTTGGTACTTATTTATTTGCTACATGTATTTTAGATGGATGGATACTATTCAATTATAGCCTTTGGCTGAGGTCAATACCTGGATTTATCGACCCGAGGAGAGATATATTGACCGAGGATGCAGTCTTTTTATGAAAAAATAATAAATGTAGTTGTTTATTACTTAGTGATGAGCAATGTATCAATGATACATTACAGTATATGCATGAAATAGAGAAAAAAGCCAAGGAAAACTGAAACAAAAATATTGCTTTGATAAATTTTATTGGCAAAAGTTATATCATTTTTTTAATGAAATTTATAATCATTTGGTGTTTTTTTTGAAACAAGAGTTAAAAATAATTTTCTTACTAACCAACTCAAATGAACAAGAGGCCCAAGGGCCTTAGCGGTCACCTGAGTTATATCATAGGTACTGGTAGCTTTATTTTATTGTTAGATATATATAGATACACTGTACTTATCAAATGTCAAACCTGCATACAATGTACATGTATTTGATTAGCAGGGTTAATTGGACGTAGTAAACCACCTGATTTTTAAAATACTGGCACTTGTATATTAATTTCAAGAGACATGATAGAGTGGAATACCTCTTTTGACCCTTTCAGAAAATATTTCTGGCAACATGCCGCGTAAATAAAATTGTCTCAAAAATGGAAGCATGTTTTCTTTCCAAAAGTTGTCTTGAGATTCAATTCTCTGAAAATGTACATCTTTTTTAGTCCAGACAACAAAGTCTGTCCACCTCTGTTCACAAATGGCCATTTGGCCTTGTATTTGATACATGTAGTTATGTGTTGCTTTTAATTTCAAATCATTGTCTTCAAGATCACAAAAAAATGCTGGATCTTTAGCACAGTCCAATGGTGACATTCTTCTCCACAGCTTTGTAGCACCACCACTGTCAGATCCATATGGACATTTCACCTCCACAATTCCAGTACCACATTTGCTACAAGTAACCAAGCTATCCACACTTGCCCCAAGATATGGAAATTTAGGATTTACAACTAATCCCCTGTCATCTAATTCAACGTTTCCACCACAAAACTTTGAATGTTTTTTCCTGTAGTCCTTCAGGGCCTGCCGTTCATATTTTCTTCCATGCTGAAGGCTCTTCACAGTGCTTGGTGGAGGATTATACCCTCTCAAAGTTTTAACAAGATTGTCAGGTTGTGTTTTCTTTCTTTTGGATACATTTCCCATGTTGGAAGCTGTGATCAGCACAGTTCTTGCATCTGCCCAGTTTTTATTTAAACTCTGTCCTCTGGTTCCAACTTCTAAATTATCTATAATATCTGTATTTACATTCAGTTTGTTAAAAAATTCTAAAAATGCTGTCTTACATTCATCAGAGTCAAGATCCACAAAATCTGCATACGAAAAAGTTGGTTCAAAAATCTTCAAAAATGAAGAAATGTCTGTTGGTTGAGATTTAAGTGTTTTATACAGTACACATCCTGGGTTTACAACTTCAAGACCTTCAAGTAAATCATTCAAAAAAATGTCCGGGTCATTGCAGGCTGATGCTTGGAATGTGTCAGGGTAAGGACGCAACTTTTCCGTGTCTACGTTTGTTGAGAACCTAACTTCATGAACACGTTTTGGGCTTGGTTTTCTTTGAATGGGTCTAGGTCTATCCCATCTGCACTCCTGAGATGTGCATGCATTTTTCATTTTCACAAGTGTGAACAACAAACCTCCAACGTGTGCACAAAGCCCTGCCTCTCCAGCTTTACAGTCACAATATGCAGTCATTATATGTCCTGTTGACTTGGTGATACATACATTTAGACTGTACAGATTTGCTGTCTGACCAGTATTACCCACATGCACAATATTTCTTATAGATGGCTTACACTTCGCTTTTACGTAACAAACTTCCGATTCTACAGACACATTATGATACGCAATGTCACACAAAAAGTTTTCTGCACAAAACTTCCTAGCTTTCTTAAGATGTCGTTGAAATCGTGCACGTTTTCCAGATGTAGGATTGGTTTGATATAAGAAATAATTTTCAATGTCTTTGTCACTGATATCTGGTAAATTTGCATTTGAGACGGTTGTCCACGAACTGTCCAGTTTAGAGAAATCTGTATGCATTCTCTGGCTCATTTCTAAGTCGCTATCGATGACACTTGAGTCTGAATCCAATAGATTCTGGTATGCACGAAAAACACGCTTTACAAGCACATCTTTTGAGCCACTTCTTTTCAACCCATGATCTTCCAACCAACCTTTCAGTTTTTTCACAGTCCATTTTTTCAGGTCATCAATACTCGGTACTGAACTGTCATCCTCAGAATGGTCAGAACAATCCAGTTCCATCATAACTGAAATGAAGTTTTAAATATATATGTTCTATACAGTAACTTCCATATTAGATACAGAACAAAGCTAACAGAAACTGTCCAGTAAAAACGTAATAAAAACATTGACATTTGAGTTTCAATAACGTTTTCTTGCGCTATTTGAACTTAAAAACTAATTATCTGTAGACAAAAAATGGTGTATGGCTATCTATTCTAAGACTACATCATTGTTATAACTGATTTGCAAAAGTGATCCGATTTGGGTACCGATCCGATTTGGGTACTGCCACCTTACTGTAGCGGTAAAATGCGTTATCTTGTCATAATATATCGTCTACAACTTACCATGTTGTCATCTAGCGTATATTAGTGTTGAGAATTTTAATTTTTACATAGATCTCGTATCAATAAACTGATGATTTTTAGTGACATTCGCTCTAAAATCGTGTTGTCCTGTGAAACGGAGCGAACTCCTCGGAAATGAAATCGAGTGCAAACTAATGTCCGGAACGTATGCATAAAAATATCCGAAACCGTAATAGCGGAACCGTGCCATTAAAATGTCTCGGATATGTAGAACAAATTTCAAGAATTGTTGGAGGGCGTGCTACTTTTATGACCGTTATTTACAACGTCCATTTATGTTTTGGTAATGAAATGCTATGATTATGTGATCACTCGTAAACACAAATGTAATAAGATATTAATCATCTGAATTACTCTTGTATTGATTGTGGATTGCTAAAGGTTTTGTAAGACTACTGTAATGTTCGTTGCCCCTATTTGTAGCACACTTCGCGTTCGTTTATCAATGTCCACTGCTAAAATTACATTGGTATTTTTTCTATTGATGATGCTGACATCATTTAATAGAAATAGACAATCGTGCACAACTTAAGACTGAGTTGGTTGTGGAATTATCAAAATATGTTAAAACCTAAACCAAAATGTTCGCGTTCACGGACAAACCAAAATGTTTGTAGAATAATCATAATTTGAGAACGTCTTGCACATTTATTATATCTGCCGAACATTTACATTAGGTACAGCGGCTATATACTATGTCAGACTTTATAATATAACAAATATTTCCGACAATTGTTACATTTTGTGTGTTTCACGTTAAATAAAACCAAATTCTTACGACATTATGTGACGTTTTTGACGGATAACAAAATATAAAGCTATGTTTATGCTATGTTTTATTCTCGCAACTGTATAATTGTTGATTTCAGCACACTTTATCAACTAAAAATGATGAGAAATCTGTCTTAACACCAAAAAGGAGGCCGGGCAGGGGGACTAAAAGAAACTATTTGCGACTGCCGCCCTTTAAATTGGCTGTTTAAGGTTAATCAAATCGGTCATTATACAAATATGTTGGGCTATTCCATCAGCCTGAGTCAATTTGAAGCTATGTGTTTTCCCATTTTGATCATTTGATAACCCTCCGCTAGAAAATCTTAGATTTAAGAAATGTAGAACGGACTTTCGTCACAGCAAATGTTTGAAATGTTGTGTAATTACAAAACATATTTATTTCATGAAAACTGACCTAACCTTATAGTGTAGGGGGTGGTGGGGTGGCGCAGTGTATAACGCAATTATCTTTCACCAAGGCGACTTGGGTTTGATTCCCCGATCGGACGTGAAAATGTATGACCCTCTTGTACCTTAAATGAATTCTGCAAAGGTTTACATTATATACTTGTTTAAGAATAATCATCTGTAGAAGTTTCAAAAGCTGCAAACTATATCAAGATACCTTTTCGTGTATTGCTGTATTTCTACATTTATTCCGGAACACTTTAGATTCTTATTTTTGAAATTTTATTTTACCTTTAATATCGCTCAAATGTTAATATAGTGCAGTAAAATATGTTGGTATCCTTTTGGTTTCTGCACTACTTATTCTAATGTTCATAACCTTGGTATGAATAGTACTTATCTGCCACGTCTTGGTATTCATAATCTTGGTATGCGAAGTACTCATCTGACACGTCTTGATATCTATTCTCATTGTAGTCGTAGTATTCATCTTTCGCGTCTTGGTTTCTATTCTCATTGTAGTGATAATATTCATCTTCCACGCCTTGTTATCTATTCTCATTGTAGTGGTAGTGTTCATCTTCTTCGTCTTGTTATCCATTCTCATTGAAGTGGTAGTACTCATCTTCCACGTCTTGGTATCTATTCTCATTGTAGTGGGAGTACTCATCTTCCACGTCTTGGTATCTATTCTCATTGTAGTGATAATATTCATCTTCCACGCCTTGTTATCTATTCTCATTGTAGTGGTAGTACTCATCTTCCACGTCTTGATATCCATTCTCATTGTAGTGGTAGTATTCATCTTCCTCGTCTTGGTATCCATTTTCATTGTAGTGGTAGTGTTCATCTTCCACGTCTTGGTATCCATTGTTTTGGTATGGGTAGTACTCATCTGCCATGTCTTGGTATCCATTGTTTTGGTATGGGTAGTACTCATCTGCCATGTCTTGGTATCCATTGTTTTGGTATGGGTACAGTGTAGTACTCATCTTCCGCATCTTGTTATCTATTCTCTTTGTAGTGGTACATGTAGTACTCATCTGCCATGTCTTGGTATCCATTGTTTTGGTATGGGTACAATGTAGTACTCATCTTCCGCATCTTGGTATCTATTCTCTTGGTAGTGGTACATGTAGTACTCATCTGCCACGTCTTTGTATCCTATTTCTTGGTATGGTAGTACTCATTTGTCACGTCTTTGTATCCATTCTCTTGGTATGGTAGTACTCATCTGCCACCTCTTGGTATCCATTCTCTTGGTATGGATAGTTTTCATCTGCCAGGTCTTGGTATCTATGCTCATTGTAGTGGGAGTACTCATCTTCCGCGTCTTGGTATCTATTCTCTTTGTACATGTAGTACTCATCTGCCACGTCTTTGTATCCTATTTCTTGGTATGGTAGTAGTCATCTGTCACGTCTTTGGATCCATTCTCTTGGTATGGTAGTACTCATCTGCCACGTCTTGGTATCCATTCTCTTGGTATGGGTAGTTTTCATCTGCCACGTCTTGGTATCCATTCTCGTGGTATGGGTAGTTTTCATCTGCCACGTCTTGGTATCTATTCTTATTGTAGTGGTAGTATTCATCTTCCACGTCTTGGTATCTATTCTCTTTGTAGTGGTAATATTACATCTTACACTTTCATTTTAAATTTTTATATCAAAATTTATATATTTTCATAGGTTAAAATAGAACAATACGCTAGTTATCAATAAACAGTTTACAGATAATTCATGTACCTTAAGTCAATAGTTATTTTCCATTTTGGCGTCATGCTCCATGACAACCTATTCCTCATCGGAAACACATATGATGTATTTTCGTAGAGAAAAAATGTGTTTTTTCAGATAAATTACGAACGTTATGGGAAAAACAATTCCCCAAACTCGTGATGATTAGTTATCACCTTTATCTAGCTCTCGTTAGTTAATTTTCAAACTGCGAAATACACTCGGTAAACCTCGTTTCTTTATACAATTTAATGATTAACTAACTCGAGTTAGATACATATGATAACCATCTATCACTCATTTGGGAACAACTGTATATCTATAAGTGTACCCGAATACATCTAGTTTATTCGTACTCTGTACAAAAGCAAATATTGCAGTCAAACTTAAGCTATTTACAGTTGAAATCAATATTTTACTAGTATTTAAGCAATAAACTGCATAAATGTGGCAGACCAACTGGTATAACTGCCACATGTGTCACAGACAAACTGAATGGTGCGCGCTAGCGCACCATGATAAGTTTGTCTAAGTAAAATTATTTGTTGATCACACAGACACTTGAGACAGGCAGCTGGTGTTCGGGATCAAAGCAGAAGATACCGATAAGTTCGGTAGTGACACTGTTAAGTCGCTCGGAGGTGGAAAGACCAACTTCAGTTATAGTCTCATAAGATGAAGCTGCTATTGGCAGTACTTTAGTTGTAATATAAAAGGGCTTTGCCACAACAAATGTAAATACTATATTATAATTATGCAATTCCGCCTAATAGATGTAAAAAGCTGTAAATGATATGAAGTGATACAATACTCGCTTCCAATAGGGATTTGGCCTGATCGATGAGGACGTGAAATGGCGAAAGTCAACTTCCGTGATAATATTAAGGTATACAGTATAACATATCTAATCATTTGTGTTTAATATCTAACGTTTAGCATTTCAACTCCAGCAAATCAAAACAACTGTAAATGGGTCGCTGAATCAGGTCAGAAGAGGAACGTATTTCGTGCCATTGGAGACATCAAAGCGAGTTATAAAATATATCCACATCATTCAAAAAACATTAGACATAGACACGACCAAACAGGTATAAGCACAAGTTTTTTAAAGTTATCAAGGAGACGGTCATCCGGGCTGTTGAAAGGAAGACTTGCCTTAGTACCATTTTCCTCTGCTTGGCTACGCTCATTTATACTACTATTTTTAGAGCGAAGCCTGGTGGCACATGGAACACTGGTTGTAGGAGGTTGAGCTAATAACAATCGCTAGCTGTCAAAGGATTGTTATCGTTTGAGAACAGGTTATGAAAAACAAACCAGAAGACATTTATGTGACTAATCGGTGTAAGTGATAGCATCAACGGAAGTTCCATGAATAACTAACATTCGTCTTCGGCGTCAGATTCTTCGTTAAAAGAGTCGTCATCGTTTGATTCCTCGTTAGAATAACCGTCATTTGAATGTTCAACATCGGAATTCTCGTCGTTTGAATATTCATCGCAGTTATTATCGGAAGACTGGTCGTCGTCGCCAGAATGTTTGATTGAATACCAGGCATCAGAATACTCCCCGTTGATAGACTCGTCTTGTGAATATTCATCTTCGGAAAACTTTTCGCCACCAGATTCATCGTAGGAAGAATCGTTAGAATACTCGTCGTTTGATTGTTCGCTGTAACGATTCTCGTCATCACAGATATTATCATCGGAAGATTCGTCGTCAGCCAATTGACCTTCCATGCGTTTCCAAAGGTGTCCCTCTGGATCGCCACATACATAAATATATTTCCTGCCACATTTTGTTGTAAATTTCTCTGAGGGAATATAATTGTCTTCAGTGACCGGAATCTTTTTACTATGACCCAGCTCTTCTAACTTCCGGAACACCCATAAACAGTACAAATTGAATCCTGACAAAAAGCGTTTTTTACCCGGACGTACAAATATCTAAATTTAGTTCCGGTTTCGATTTAGGATTATAGCTACGTCATTCATAATGAGAAGTACTAAGATCAATATGTCACGTCGTAATATGTGTAAAGTAAACATTGTGTTAGATTTAAACAAAGATCCTTGCACTAGAGAAATATTGCTATCAATTCATTGATTTTCATGGTTTCCTTGATTAAGTATGAGTAAATTGTATGTAGCAATATGATAAAGTCTGTACGACTGTACTTCAATAGCAGACGACAACACATGTACTTTATCCACGATATGTTATGTGCTTTAACTCATTTACCCCTTAGGACACATTTGAACTCTTCCAATTCAAAGGTTGAAATAGTTCATTATGAAATGGAAGAAATGAATGAGTTATCGAGCTCGTCAGTCGTATACTGTCGGATTTAGATAATGAAAGTTTAAACATTTTATGAATAGGATCTAAAAAGAATGTTAGGAGACTTTTTTATTTGAGTTATTACGGTTATCATGAACTCTCAGTATACAAACGATTTCTGTACTTGGTCGTTGCATTTTTCATGAATTCAAAGCATAAAGAATTAGAGTCCCCCCTTCCAAACCTTCACATATGTAAACCAACACTCATCAAACATTTTCTGGAAACCATTTTGGAAGAGTTATGAAGGACTCTGTCTAAAATAATTATACAAGTAGAGATAAAACGACGACAGACATTATTTGAAAACGAACACTATACGATATATTCATATGTTTCAGTTATATTTGTATTCTCTGCTAAAAGCATACACATCATAAATTGTATATCAGTTATCTTCAAAAAGAACATATACGATATGAAAATGTTATTTCTGTAAAAATCATAATCATTATGAAATTTATTACATGTGTATAAAAGGATTTTTGTATTAACACTTAGACCTTATCCTGCGTTATTAAGTCTATTTCGTTTTTGTATACTTTCAGATATAGCTTAAGCACTTGGTTTACACCACGAATCATTTGATAAAAAAGCAATATTTTCCCTTCATTTAGATACTGACGAAAACTTAAATTCATGATAATGTTACACATACTGACACGGTTTATGCTATACACACTTTACTAGTTATGTTATATGAAATAAAACAATATCACCGTATAACGCAATAATGTGATTACAAACAGTTTGATACATGTATCGTATAAAGTTTATCTATTGAACTAACACCGCTGTTTTGTTTTCAGAAAAAAATGATTCAGATTTTAGAAACCGAAAGTTCGCTTTCGTTTTGCATGACCTATCTTGCTGTGATACTACTAAAGGTGTGGTGTTATCATGTCCGTTTTGTTTTCATCAATGTTATCTATTCAAATCTGTCCAAATGCCAGTGCAAAGTCAATTTAATTTAGATAAGGGAGATAAACCAGTCAATTTGTATCGTGCTTGATTTTATTAGTATTCGATAAAAATCTATTTCAATGCACAAACTAACAAAATAACGACGGAATATTTGATATTTGTTTATTTGATAAGAAGATATGAACATAAATAGTATAAATAGTTTGGTCCATCAAATGTGAGTTCGTTATAACGATTGGGAACATTGAAATTATCATCCTTGTCTTTTTTATCCATTGTGGTTGTTAAAATGTATACATTCATTTGTCACAACTTTCATTTATTGCGTTTGGTACTTTGTCTTTACGTTTATATCAAATAAAGTGACTCGCATATGTGTACGTCGGTTTCCGATATGCAGGTGTAATTACATACAGTTGTGGATTACGGATTACGAATGTCTCCGGGGTGGTATATTTGCTGCAATATCGTATAAGACGCTTACCAGTAACATTGCACAAAGACTCCGATAGAATGACACAAATTGTGGTAAAATTTGATAGTAATTCATGCTTAATCTTCATTAACAAACATTCAATTATCTAATTTATGTAATAGAAATATATATTACATGGTATGCCAATTAAGGTTTATATAAACCGTTTTTCAAATACAAATTGATTCCCCTTTCCCTCCAACAAATGAGTTTGAATAAACGTTCTTTTCATCAAGTTAGCGTTGAAAAATGATCATGCCCAACATGATAAGCCAACCACTGTAGATCATCCTCATCGTTACTAATATCGGGGCACCTGCTTTAAGGCTCGGGTCGTATAAGCTGAATTTCTTTACGACCAGAGCCGTTGGTTATTAATCTGTTCTTGTTCGAAAATCCGAAGCACTAGGAATATTTTGCTGAACCTGAAGGGAGGACCAGGAGCAGGAGCATATTGATTGTGTCACAGTATTCAAGATGGAGGGATCGTGAGGAATGACTTTGCAC